TTTAAGATGTTTCTAAAACTAATAGTAAAACGAGTAGGTCTCTTTTTGGAGTGCCAAAGTATGTGGTCACTACAGCTGTAAAGCAGCAAAGTGACAGTTCTTGCCCATAAAACATCAACAAGAAAAAAAATAAATAAAAAATGAAGACAAATATTAAGAAAGATTCAGCAAAATTGTTATTTTAACTGTTAACTATTTAACCGTTGTGCATAAACTGAACAGCTGTATCCTCACGGCTGCACAAAAACTGTACAACGTAAACAAATACAATAAATGTAATATTTCTCCTAAATATCACTTAATACCAGTCATTCTTAGCTGCGCATTCAAGCACAGACAAGGCAAGTTTCTTGTCTAAGCCAGGCTAAAGCTGTGTCCACTTCACAAGACGGCATTATGCCTCCTGTTCACGGTGGGTCTTGGGGAGCAGTGGCCAGTCTGGTGCCCATTTCCTTGAGACAGGATCTAAGCAGGAGCCAGACGGGAAGGCAAGCATGGCTTGCAGGAGGCCGGATAAGCCAGCTCTGATGGCTTGATACAGCTCCAGACCCCCAAGCCTGATACGCTGGCCACAAAGGCAGAAAAAGTTTGCTCAGTCTGTCAATAGGCTTCTCAGAATTATGCTGATTTTTAATTGAAATATAAACTACAACGTTGTTAGGTACATCCACTTATAACTTAATAACAAATAAAATGTGTTTTTATTTCAGGTTCAAAGACAAGCAACCATGAAACAGGTTGAAGCTGAAAGGTTATGAGATTCAAAATTAAAAAGGCTTACATTACCTTGCTTAAAACACTAAAAAGGAATACTACTACTATTACTACTACTACTACTACTACTAATAATAATAATAATAATAATAAATTAAGATACGTTTTTTTAAAAAGGTTTTTTTCTTGGGAATAAATGATAAGCAGATATTAAGATATGATATTGTGCTGTGCCATGTTCTTCAGTTTTACCATTAGAGAATCAACACTATTTTTTCCATTTTCTCAAATACATAATAAAGTTCAAGCAATGCCACGAAATGGTACATTCAAGTAGTTCAATTACAGAACAGATCTGCACAAGTTCTATCAATTTCTGTGCAGAGCAAACTGAATCTACTGATTTGATTTTAGCACTTAGCTAATTTAATTCAAGGTAACATATAAATTTGAGCTAATACATTTTGTGATGTAATAATATACCTTCAAAAAAACACAATAACATTTAAATTTGAAATCACTGTGCCTGAACCGCAAATCATGCATTAATAAAATAATTAGAAAAGTGTTCCGAACGACGGCTCCTTGTATTATTGTCTAAAGTTGAGTAAAAGGTAATTAATTTGCCAGTAAATTATTTGCACTGTGTTTGGTTGATCTAACGAAGGAGAGGAAATTGCAAATCAGACCTGAAGTCTTCCACTATTGTCTCTAATAAGATGGAAATCTTCTGCACTAAGCACAATATACACATTGTGTATCCTGACCCTCCATTGTAATCATGGCATGCTTGAGTGTACCACTTACTGCAAGTAAAAATCTGAAAGATACTTTTCAATACAAAATATTTTAAATACACTTATTAATCTCTACTGAATACAAATGTACCACAGAAAGTTAGAAGAAATTTGGGATGCCGTTTAAGAATTTACAGCAAAGTACAATAACTTATAGAATAAGCACAATATTTCATTACCTGCACAGTAAATGATACACATGACAAAAACAAACAAAATTGCATTTACTCACTTGGAAAATTATATGAACATTTAGCATTTAATACATGAAATAACTACAATGTTTTTATAACTAGTGCTTGGTTCATGGCAAAATTGTGGAAACATTTGCATAAATTAATTTCAGAACCACAATCAATGACTGGAGCATGATAAAAGCTTTAAGCAGGTTCTCATACTCATTTTGCAAGCACTACGTACTCAGATCCAGCTGTAAAACACTGATATTAAAATACAGCTGGATTTGTTACTGTTCTGCACCATCTCAAAATGCACACTAAATACTGAGCACAAATAGAATAGCCTTCATAAAGCCTCAGTCTGGTTAAGAAGAGTGACATTATGATATATAAACTTTGTGCTGAACTGAGTTTATATCTAGTAAAGCTGTTCACAGTAATGTGATGTGCTTGATGGGACACAGGTCCCTGCAGGTTTAGCGATGGTGTTCTCTGCGGCCCACCTCGTGCTCCCGGGTTCTGGCAAACTGGCAGATGGGGCACGTCATGCCATCAAGAGGAAAATAAGTGGATGCCAAGAAAACTTGAATGAGTGATTCAACAAGCAACTGTTCATCCAAATGCAACAAAAATAAACTGAGAAAAAGGCGCTCCACAAACAAATTTTGAAGTTCCTTTTAGATAATAATGTTCAACATGTTTTTGTTTATTTTTTGTATCCCTGGAGCTTTTTTATGCATGTCTAAGTTTCTACATTAATTATCTAATAAGCTACAGATCAAAGACAACCTTCTACTACAAACCTGAAATCTAATAGAAACAGCTGTAGAATAAATGATCGATAAACCATTTGTAGCTGGATTACTGAACTGGTTATATATTTCCAAAGTATCATTACATTATAAATATTATAAATTGCCATCCACTGGGAAAGTAAAAGATTATGGATTAAATTCTTACAGGTCTGAGCTGTGGCATTTGGAGAGCAGAATGTGACTCAATGCAGCCATCTAGTGTTGAGCTGCGCTTTGTGTTTCAGCATCTCTGAAATAAGACTTGTTTACTCAATAATGATTTTAATAATAATGTTCAGTAAAGAAAAATATGAAAAGACCACTTTAATTTAAAAATTAAAAAGGCAAAACAGAACACATTTCATGACAAAATACTTTTTAAATAACGATTCCTATCTTTCTCTTTTATCTTAAGTGACATCTATAGCGTAACTCAACAAATACACAAACCTACTCTTACCTTCTATCATTCGTTCTCATCTGAACTTGCATAAAACTTGACTGCATTGGAGTTTATGATGATGATCTGAACAGTTGCATCTAACAAACATAATATCTTCCTGTGAGCTGGTTTATATTTACCTTTTAGATGGATTCTGTTATTGATTATCAAATAAATCTAAACTGTTCTCTAAATGTGAAGCATATTCTACCAGTCTTTGCCAGTCACGGTGACTGAAAACATGAATTGTAATTAAATATTCTGATATATTCTTACACTGTCTACTTTGTTTTCGTCACAGAACGAGGATAGGTTTCATTCACGCATTCATTTCGTAAGACAATTCCATGTTCCTCTGACCTTAGAGAGTTTAAACAGAGTCCAGCCAAGTTGCAACGTCTTCGCCTAGAATCATTATCAGCTACATGTACTGTGTTTCCTGCTCTGGGCTGATGGAAGCATGCAGCTGGCAAGAGATTCTAAAGGACTCTACAGGAGCTGAAAATGGAAACACACACACAAACTGAACGTACATTAATTATGTAAAAGTACACATCTATAGTGCCAGTATGTGCCCACGAGGTGTGGCAGTGTGAACTAGTATAACAACACTAAACAAGCTGAGACCATGTGTGTCAGTTCACTCTCTGCTATGCACAATTCTACAATGTCTAATGCAAACTGATTTTTTGTTAATTCTTATGTAATAAATTGATAAATAATTAAATAAATAAATAAGGTAATACAAGACTCATCAAACATGTACGACAAATGTCAAATCCTGTGTCGACCAGATGAGGATGGGTTCGCCTTTTGAGTCTTGGTTCCTCTCAAGGTTTCTTCCTCTTGCTCTTACAGAGTTTTTCCTTGCCACTGTCGCCATTGGTTTGCTCATGGGGGCTTGGACCTGGATTTTTCTGCAAAGCTGCTTTGCGACATGTAAATAAACTTTGACTTGACATGAGTCATGGGTACGAGTATTGAATTAATTAATTTGATTATCGAATTAATCACTCAATAGAAACCTGTGTGTAATAATTACTAATCATGTGACAAATGTATCATTGCAGACAAACTAGTTGAAATTGCTTATCATCTTACTGAATAGCACCAACTGGAGCAATAAGATACAACACACATGATACTAGTTTCACATGTCAAAACAATGAAACCCAAGTCTTGCATTCAATCTTGCAATCGGCACTGGCACCGATATTTTGCCCAGCTTGTAAGTGATACTGAGACTAATTAGCTAGTAGGCCCAACTCTGCCCATGATGAATATTTGAATGGGAATATTTGCAGACAGTCTGTGTTGGATAAACACAAGTGTGTGTTTTTTAGAGGGGGCGGCATGTGTAAATGAGTGTTTTTTAGGAGCAGAAGTTTAAAAGTCTAGTCCTGGAGGGCCGGAATCCAGCATGGTTTGGTGATTTCCCTGCTGAAACATACCTACTAAACCCGGAAATTAAGTGATGAGTTGAATCAGGAGTATTTGAACAGGAAAATCATCAAACTGTGCTGGAGTTCGACCCTCCAGATTTCAAGACCCCTGGACTTGGGTATGAAACAACCTGTTCTGAAGGCAGTATGGGCAGGTTTCTTGGACTGAGCTTAAGCTTAACGTCGGTCTGTTATACATACAGATGTTATGCTGACCATACAGGTTTTCAAACACAGTGTGCAGTTCCTATTTTGTCTGCAAAGTACATTTGAAGTGGCACATCAGTGAGAAGCAGGCAAAGGTACACATTATTTGTTCGTCGTTGTTCAAACTTACCGTGGCACTGTTTTGCCCTTTATACCTCAGGAACGTGTTAGCCATTGTTCCAGAAATATTTTTACCATGTAAACACATAAACACCATAACACATCGCACAAAAATCTCCTACCAACAGAACTAAAGTTACTACTCCCAAAAAAACTACTTTCGGGGAAAAAAATGAGTTTACTATAGGCCTGAACAACGGTTCTCAAGTGACTTAAGTCATTTAAGGGGATCTTATGTGAGGATACACGCCTGCAGCACGAGTACGTGTTTACATTCAGAAGGAAATGATGTAAGAGATTTTGAACACAGGCCGGCGCGTAGGGTTAACTACTTAGCCATTTGAGCTCATATTAAATGGGTGTGTAACCCAAACAGCTTTGTCTGCACCTATCTTATGTTTATTTTCTCGTCAGTGTAATCCAGACATTTGGATAAATTCGCTAAACGGTAAGCTGTTTCTGTGTGATTGCTAAGGTAGTGCGGGGCAGCTCATGAAGCTACAGCTGACTTGCTAATACAAGCTAGCACTGGCTAGTTCATTCTACCGAGAGTTCGCTGGGTATCTTGCTTTTTTAGCCTAAGTTCAAAATATCGAGAAGCAAGATAGTTGTGTACATGGCGGCGGGAACTGAAAACGTGTTTAACCCAGCTAGGTTGCAAACATCAATAAGGCTTTGTGACCTCCTCAGCTCAGCTAGCAACCTAGCTAACAATAACGTTAACTCTGGCAGCTGGACAGTTCGGTACAGCTCAAAACAAAAGCTGAGTGTAACGTTAACGTCATCCCATGTCCAAAATGTAAGGAAAACGTATATATTTTAACTGCTGTTAGCACGTTTCCACAACTTCATTCTGCCCAAATGCCGCGACTGAGCCCGTAATCTGCATTCACAGATCCACTGTATATAAATGCTGTATATAAGCGATATTACGGGAACGTTGTGGCTAACAAATAACAGATAATTAACGTTACCTAATGCTAGCTGTGCTAGCTTATTTCGAAGTTAACTACGTTAGCTAGCCAACACTGGTGAATGGACTACTCTTGAGTAAGCAAGTTCCTAACACTCACCCTTTTCACCCTTCTCATCTTGGTAAAGTCGGCAGCTGAAAGTTAACCCTGCGGTTACTCTTAAGTTGCTAACGTTAGCTATATCGCTAGCTGCTTGTAGATATTTTCTGTCACGCCTGCTGCTGACTGCCATTTACAACTTTATTTTATGGTGTTTACGTTGTTTTTTAGACTGGAGTTTCGAGCAACGTTTCTGTTATTGTGTGCATGATCTGTTGCAGGTAGAATGGAGCTTCAGAAAATCATTCATGATGCACTGTACGACTTCGTCCAGTCACACATACCGCATGCAGATCTGAGGTAAGTTACTTCTCTTCTCAAATCTTTTCTTCCGTTACTAGCGTTAGAGAAACATCAGCCAAACCAACGGAAACATTTCCCATTTCTCACCCTTTCATTCGTAGCACTCTAGACGATGTGCTGCTTTCGTACATCACTGGTGTGCTGGAAGATCTGGGCTCTCAAACAAGCGTTGAGGAAAATTTTGATGTCGAGGTGTTTGTTGAGATGCTGGAAGCTTATATTCCGGGATTTTCTGATATTGACAGGTAAAATGATTTTTTATAAACAGAATTCATAACTTACTTTTTTCCTTCAGGACTAAATGACAGTAAATATTCTGCAGGTTAATAGTGGATATTCCCCTTCCCCTTTTTCTCAAATCATATGAAAATTTCCCCTCAGCGTTCAAGTCTGTGAAATGATGTTTAATTTGGCCTCGAAGCTGGCCTCGGCACGGAACACAGGTAATTTATCCAAGCACCAGTGATATGTATTTTGGAGGTGTCGTTAGAAATGTCTTGTACAATTCAGAAAACTAAATTACATATACTGTGTAAAGAGATGACATGTAAGTTTATAATATCTGTGAATCATGGCGTTTTAAGAATCGTTTGAGATGAAAACGGGAGAGATGAATGGTCCCTTGACGGTCTCAGCCCACGGAGCCTCAGTACAGAAGACGCACAACCACTTATCACAAGTAGAGGGAGCCACAGCAAAGGTAATGAATCTGCTTCTCTGAATACCCAACACCCTGAACTTAGGGCCTTAATAAATATAACCTAAGCAAACGTACTGTAAGAAAACACTGTATATTTAAGTCGTTCATAACACTGATTTGACTTACTGTTAACAATGGGACATCCTTACAACAGCTGATCATTAAGTCGGTGAAGATGCGGCTAGATGCCCCTTCCTCAGTATGTTTTCTATAAAATTGAACCACATAAAACAAAATGAAAATCTTTGAAAATTTTAGATCAGTTGTTATCTGATTTTACAGGAACAGTGTAAACAAAGTAAGGACATGCAGCATTTTATTGATGTGAAACTGATTCAGAAGTACAAATGACAAATGTACATGTAGCACCCAAACATCTCATTCTGCAGAGGTGCAGAGTTGGTGTCCCCCCTTTGCTGTTCTAGAAGCCTCCGCTTTTCTGGGAAAGCTTTCCACTAAATTTTGGAATCTGACTGTAGGAATTCTCTTCCTTTCAGCCACAAGAGCATTAGTGAGGTCCGACACTGATGTTGGGTGGTGAGGCCTGGCAAGCAGTCATTGTTCCAGTTCATTTCAAAGGTAGTGGATGGTGTGTAGGTCAAGGCTCTGTAGAAGCCGGTTAAGTTCATCTGCATCTCATTTAGTGAGCCATCTCTTAATGGACCTCGTTTGTGCCTGGGGGCACTGTCATGCCTCCTCCACCAAACTCTACAGTTGGCACTATAAATTGAGCAGGTAGTGTTCTCCTGGCATCCACCAAACCCTCATTTATCAGTCAGACTGCCAGATGGTGACGTGAGATTCATCACTCCAAAGAACATGTTTCCACTGCTCCAGAGTCTGAGCACTGGATGCCCTATACAGCTGACGTTACCCATGTTGATCTTGCTCGACCATGGAAACCTAATACATAAAGATCCTAACAAGCCTTTCTTGTGGCGACGTTGCCTCAACAGGCAGTTTGGGACTCTGTTGATATGATTAAGCATCTAATCAATCAAATGTCAGAATATTTCAACAATTTAAATAATACGTGAGTAAATTACGATTCTTCCAAAATAATAGTCATTTCCACTTGACAATAACAAGGCAGACATTTGATGAACTGACTTGTTGAAATGGTGGCATCCGGTGACAGGGTCACATTGAAGATGACTGAGCTCTTGAGTGTGACTCATTGTACTGGCAATGTTCTTCTGGGTAGATTTCATGGCTGTATGCTTGATTTTACACAGCAGTCAGCAGTGGTTGTAGTTAAAATAGCCAAACTCAGATGTCCACATACTTCTGACCATTTAGTGTGTCTAAAATAATCGCTATAGCTACAAAATGCTAATGCTAGCAAGCCAATGAAACTGCAGTGAACAACTTTGTGTGTGTGTGTGTGTTTAGATGAACATTTCTGAGTGGGATAAACAGGAACAGCACCTTCTGGAGATGTTTCCTAAGTGCAGTGTGACAGAAGCCAGAAGTGCATTGTCTATTGCTAAAGGAGACATGGAGGAAGCTGTTCGACTCATCATTGAGGGAGATGTTCAACTCAATCACACCCCTCCTCCCAACGTGAGTATTCTAACCAGGGTGATATTTAATTTGATTATGGAGCATCTGGGACTCTAAACCGAATAGAGTTATTAAAAAAAATGAACGGCAGTGCACATGAACTCCTGGTGCCTACAAAACATTTGACTAGAGTGTCAAGCAGTGTGACACAGCAAGTGCATGTATTCTGTGAAATAGTGGTCTGTTGGACTGAGTGCCCTATATATGAGTGGTGAACCCTAGTAGAGCTAAATTACAAGTGTAAATTTCTGGAAAGTAACACAAGTCTCTGCTTATTCTTTGTCTGGAAAACTTCACGAGATGCAAACTTTTGTCTTTAGGCAAACCAAGGAAAGAACGTCTCTGCCCAGGCGGATGATAAACTTAAAGCAAGCATTTTGGAAAAGTGAGTCTTCTCTGAACTACTGAAAATGTTTTACTTTTAAATCTTCTTAAACTATTCAGTATAAATACCTCACATATGCATGCTAAAAACCCCTTAATCCCCCATTATACAGTGACATCAAGTTTTTACATGTGTCACAGCTTAATAATTAAAAAAAATTTGGTGTGTTCAACAGCCAGTTTTTTCTATTACACCCACCACAGCGGTACACTTTTAGTTTTACTGTAGCCAGTTTGTTGCTGCATAATTTCAGTCTCTCTCTGTCTTCTCCATCAATGGGAGGGGACCACCATATGATCACCACTGATGAGATATTATTTGGGCACAACAGTGACCTGGTAGTGGCATGGTAGTGTGTGTTATGCTGGTATGTATGCTGAGGTTTTACACACCTCAGTGTCACTGCTGAGTTTAGGATAGTTCACCAACCTAAAACATCCAGCTAGCAGTGGTAATGTGGTCATTGACTGACCACTGATAAATGGGTAAAGGGTGACTTAGCTCATCTTTTCCCATGTGCAAATTGTGTTATCATCTCTAACTGTACACCAAAAAGGTAGATGTGTACATAGTGTTTAAAATAATATTTGATCAGTGGTGAGTCTATGGTGGTCTCTTTCCATCGTTGGACTGGGAAAAGGGGGTCTGATAAATTGTGCTGCAGTCAGTAGCTGTAAACCTACAAAGTGTACCTGTGTGGCAGGTGTACCTGATGATAAGGTGGCCAGAGTGTGTGAGAGTATTTTATGTGGTGCTTCAGTTATTTTGTACACCCACAAGTCAGTGACAAAAAAACCCTACTATTTTGGAGATACTTGGTTGTGTGTGTGTGTGTGTTATTTATTTTATTTTATTTTATTTTATTTTGTTTCATTTATTTATTTGGACAGTGAAGATATGCTGCTTTGACATTACCAAACTCAGAGACTGAGTACTTGCAGTGTATGCTAGTGAAAAATCTGGTTGATATGTCGGAGTTGTTTTTAAATTCAAATCATTCTGAAAATGCAGAGTACAGCCATTGTGTGCATTAACACATTTTCTTTCAGATATATGCTGGTAGATAGCGAGGAAGATAAGAAAATTCACAGACCAGTCATACCAAAAGATGTGAGTACTTCTTTTGCTGATAAATTTAAATCACTTCCATCAGTTTAAAATTTGGTGATTAAGGCACTACATTTGAAATAAACAGTGTGGTGTAGACCTACAATCGTAATGTCTTGCTTCAATGTCTTGTAGGCCCCAAAGAAGCTGGTGCGTTATCATGGCAGCCAGGTGGTGACTACCAAGGGAGAGCGCTATCATCTAGTCAAGAAAGACGAAACGGAGGATATGAAAAAGACTTACGTTAGCCTCAAGCCAGCACGCAAATACCGCTTTCATTGATAATGAGCATCCAGTGTCTGTACAGTTACATATCCGTTTGACACTTTATTTCTTCAGACATAAAATTGTGTATGAGTTGCTGTCAAATTGTGGCTGTTTTTTTATTATTATTATTATTATTATTGTTTTAATTTTTTTTTAACTTCTGTGTACTGTTTCCTTTTTGGATAGTAGTGATTCAGACTACATCCTATTACAGCTGTACTGACTTCAGTGTTCTATACATTTTTTTAACCTGTTTTTTAAAGAGAAACTTTACAAACTTTGAAGTTGAAGGTTGATACCAATATAGGTATTTCAAAGTGTCAGTAAAAGATGGTGCTCTATGGCTGTTTTGTTGTACTTGGGTCTGTTACAGAAACAACCATTTTAACAGTTACTCATTTCTAAGTATTTTAACTGCTAGGATGTGATTAGAGGTTGATGCCCAAATGCTCTCAAGTATAAAATATTCACTCTTTATTTTTTTATGCAGATGTATAGATTACCAAAAGATATCCAAACGTCATTATTACCATGTAGCCAAGTTCTCTCAAGCTGGGCTCGAGTTAGAACGCACTGCAGCATGATTTCACATTTCGTCTTAAAGATGAACTCCAGTGTCAAATTTCATCTACCAGGTGTAATGACATTGTTAGATTAACAAATGATGTGAAATCGCCTACATGCCTAAATATTATTTGTAAATTTGATCAGTGTGTACATTTGACTGTTTTTACTGTAACACACTATCCTTTTATCCTTTATCCTAGTCTTTTTGTTCTGCTCAAACTTAAGTGGACACTGCTCAAAACATTTTTCCAGTACCACCCCATTTCACTGCTTAAAAAAGAAAATTGTTATTGAAATCTGTGCCTATGATACTCAGCCAGATGAATAATTTGGCAGTCGGACACTGTTAGTTGCTGTTAACAGGCTCTATTTAACTGGTTTACGCTTTATATTCTCTGTAACTGGACTACAATCTTACTTCATTAGAGAAGGATCACAAGGTCAGCCAATAGCTAACAGGCTCGCTTATACATATCCAGAGGCATGCTTCAAGTTCAAACATTTGCATACAGTCATGTTATACTGCAGTATACAAAGTAAAAGATATGTCTGTTACAAGCCACAAATGTCTGTGCATAAGCTAGAATTGCCATTAAATGTGAATATTGACAAGTAGATTGGTGCTACTGTAACATGACAAACATGATGCGATAGTGTAAATTAGCATTGTGCTAGTGGTGGTAACCAGATAAACCAGATATTTAAAAGTACAAAATCATAAAGGATTTTTATGAAGGTGTCAAGCTGTACTGTATCTCCACATCCATGGAAAATTAGAATGATGGCCTACATCATTCAAGTATTTGGCTCTGGAGTGCATCTCTTAACTTTATTTACACTGGTTATAATGTATATCGCACCATACCTGGTTATTTTATTTGATTTCAATTAGTTATTCTTCATTAGAAGTATTGTGTACTTTGGTGATTACAGGTCTGCATGGGATTTGATGATGGAAATGATGTTCATGTAACCCATGTTCACTATTCATAGTTGTATTGTTATCTGTGTTTTACATTTGTAACTTTGTTCAGGTATCATTTGTGCTTGTTATACTCAATTTGTGCATTTTGGAGAGGTGAAGGCTGCTAATACTGTCTGCTGAACTGTAAACTGAAATCTGTACACGTCCATAGGTTGGGACACCGATGTCAAAATGATTTTTGTTGTATACTTATTTGGAGTAAAGTTGAAGAGATTAATGTCATTTTTGTGTATTTTTGGCCATATGCATTGTTTAGTAATTAGCACATCAAGATCCCCCCACACTTGGTGAGTGTGACTGGGACTGTCATTTTAAATGTAGAGTAGCTGGTATTTTAAATGTTTAAAAAAAAATACAAAAAAAAACCCCGAATATCAAACAAAAGAGTTGTATAGTTACCAACACTACAACAGAAACCCAGTAGGTATTCTGCCACAATTGGTATAGCTTTGTTGTTGTTTTTGTTTTTTTGAATAAGCACTTACGTAACATGACGTTATGCACCTTGAGAAAGTCCAACAAAACAGACAATTTGTGTTTAAAGAGTTTTATTTATGAAGTACATGCACAAAAGGTTGGAACATCATTTTCAGTAGCCATTCAACTTAGAAATCATATAGTAATACAGCAGAGCAAATTATTCAAGGACACAGGAAGTAAAAAAAAATAATTTTGTATTACTTAAAAAAGGAGAGGGGCAGGATCATGCTAAACATTTTTGTACATTATAACTTGTGCTAGAACACCAGTATTTGCTTCACTTCTTTAGGAGAAACATCTAAGGAGGGTGTTACTCTCAAGGACTTCTAAAGAAATGGTCAATAGCCTATTATCATGGTCATATTCCCTACCTAAACTGGAGAATACAACTGCTCCCCTTTCATATTAATGAGTGAGAAATGCAGAGTGTGGATTTAGAGTAAGCTTTCTGAGAAAAACAATAAGATGTGATTTCTATTCTTGAATACAGTTTGGAGTCAGCATTGCCCAGGCACTTATTTACCAGTGAGTCTGCATGTATGAATAAGTATTCACTCCCCAACAGATGGAAAAACCAGAGCAAATGAATTGTACATACCAGAATTTCCAAAGAAATGTTCTGGCTTAGGAATTATTGATTTTATGAATTTAAGTTTTCACTCATAAGTAAGGAAGTCTTCTTTTCATGTCAGTCACCAAGTCACATGTTTACTACTGCTCACTTTTTTAAAGTAGTGGACTGAAATCTTCCAAACTGTTCTTACAGATGGAAATTACCGATTTTAGATGCCGTTACTGCCTGAAATAATGGTCACATTTTATATTCATCCTTCAGTAAGAAATGACAAGCAGTCCCAAGTGCTCTGTACAATATTTTTTTGGATATATTTACTCCATTTTAAGTGCTCTTGCGCTCAGTATCCCCAGTTAATTTAAGTGCTATACTAACAATCTCATTCTTTCAATTGCCATTATAAACAAACTATAGAAATGTTGTCATCAAAAAAGACAATACTTCAACATTAATTGTTCAACTAAATCCAACAATCGTATTCAAGCACTTTCAGACAACTCCATGTCAGGAAAATGAATTTGGCACATATACAAGTAGCTATATCATAAAGACTGTCACTACTTTGTAACATGTTTCAATGCATGGCACCCAAAATATGATCAAAACTATGAATGTTATCAATGCTATTTTTTTTCTTTTCAGATCAAGATGTCTTTAAACAAAGTACCATGGCCAATGTAAACAAATTCTTACATGCAAATGCAATATTAACTAGATCACAGGATGAGATATCAACAGTATATGGACAGGTTAATGGATAAATATGTTGGTTAATCAAACGTCTATTAGGAAGATAAAAATGTGGTAACAAGCAAACTGGAGACTTTGTTTGTAGAATTAAGATTATAGCATTCTTTAAAAATAGTATAGCAACCTCAGAACACAAGCATAATATTCCTTTCAGATCCAATATCATTATCAAAAATCTGATGGGTATATATCACTCCTGCGTAGGACAGATTCATTTTTACCTATAAAATATCTTTTATTGAAATCAGACGGCAAAAGAGTTAATATTAATGCCTTCTAAATACAGTATATTAAATTACATATTTGCCCTCACTTGCAGTTACAGTCCTGAAATTGTACCACATGTAAAATAAGGTTACATTCAAACAAATATACAAGTCAAACAAAAAAGTAAATAAAATATATGCCTGAATGTACACAAAAGATAAAAAAAATATAGAAATACTCAGCAATGATCAAACTTCATTCAGTAATCCAGCTATGACAGGGCCAAACATTCCTTCAGTGTTTTAAAACAATACTTCCTGCGGACTGCTCCTGTTAACTGCAAAACTACTGACAAATTCTGCACTAATTTCAAAAGTCTTGTATTTTGCACAAATTACAGTACACTGTAAATTCACCAATTGTAAGACTGCTTCTAGTCAAGGCTCACTAGAAGTGGTCTTATAACTGTCATCTTATGTGATATGCTTTGCTTATAAATGAGGACTCCAAACTGTAGGAATTCAGTATTTCGTTATGGCACCTTGCTCGTCCTAAGATGGAACCAACAATGAAAAGAGGCGCTAAGGTAGGTGCAACTGTGCTTTGAATGCCTGTTTTTTCCTTCTCGTGCATCATATCACTTGGCAATATGCATCACACTACGCTTATGAGGACTCAAAAGACGGATCAAGTTCTCTCTAGTGGTACCTTCCTTGAATAGATATTGGAGTAACAAGACAATGGCTTGAGACAATCAAAGCAGACTTAAATACAGGCAGCCAAAACACTGCCAGACGCTGTCAAATCAACAGTCTGAATGTACAGACAAGCATACATTCACATCCCTACACTTTATTATACCACATCCCCTCCAACAGCACGCAGATTTGTTTCCTGCCAATTAACTGGGACCTTGCTCGTATCGCCCCTTGATCATCATGTTCAGTAATGGACCAACCTGTGGAACAAAACATACTGCTGTTTTAAATGTGTTACCCTGATGTGATTTTTCAAGGACTAGCAGCTTTTCCAGCAAAGGACTAGTCCAGCAAAAAACATCAAAAACTGGTTTAAATGACACATACTCTTTTTTTGTTTGTTTTTTATACGTACTGATCTTCAAGTAAAAGATGCAAAAATTACTAGGGAATGCAAAGAACCATCAGACTTCGCAAAGTCCTTAACTTCTGGTTGTTTCTTGGTTTAGACAGCAGAAAGGTCACCACTGTGACACGTTACATTACAGCTATGGATTCAAGCAACATCTGGTAACTGTAAGCCAGGAAGCTTGTATAACTAGAATTTGTGGCTTGCCCACTACACCATGAAGCAATGCTGCTTTACAAAAACACAAGCATAACTAGTAACAAGTTTTGGCACATGCTTCCAATATCTGTACCAAGAAACTAATTCAAATGGCAAAATAAGCTAAAAAGGTCCATAATCTCATGATAAGTTGTCAATATAAAATATATGTATGTTCACTTTAATTTTGCTTTAAACCAGGTTAGCTACAATTAAATCTGTAACTAGGTTATTGCCCGAGTCAAAATACAGAGGGAATTTCTCCAATGCACTAATCTGGCTGAAGAGTTTAAAAATAGAACAGCATTATGATTAACTGCTCTACTTTTTAGTACCTCATGTGGGTCCCCCAAGGCCTCTCCCAACATCTTTTCAATGTTCCTCATAATGGCCACCTTCTGATGTGCTTTCAGTGGGTATTCTATCCTCTTTGGAGTGGGAGCTCCCTGAAAAGACAAGACAATAGTTGACCTTCACAGGTGATAATAGATTATAAAAATATGCAAAAGATTCTGTATGGCTGAACTGACACTATTTATGATTTTAAAACAGGGCCCTAGGAGATTTTTTGTGAACTAGAACCACCTAGTTCTTCAGTTTGTGCATTCACGCAAAAACAAAATCATGTTTGAGGTTATTTGATGTCTAAGCCAACAACAATACATTTGAAGCTATTCAGAAGCCAAGTCAAGAGCCAGGTGCATGTGAGGCACTTTAGTAATTTCTGCAGGGTCATTTGGGAGACATGCATTCAATGTGTATTTTGATAGGATATGTTTCTGCATAGGTTGACACTCTTTCAGTTTCCATCTTGGACACAAGTGCAAATGTGTTTAATTAGCTAGGTTTTTAGCCTCTAAATCAGGGTGCCCGATTTTGGTACTGAAGATTCACCACTCTGCAGATTTTAGTTCCAACCCTAATCTAACAAACCTAAACCAGTTAATGAAGGCCTTGGTCATGTGACTATTGGAGACAGGTGTGTTAGATCTGAACTCACCAGGGTGGTACATCTCCAGGACCAGGATTAAGCACCCCTGCCCTAAATGTTCATCTTTAAATCCAAAATATACTACTTGTTCGAAAGTATCCATGTACACCTTCTAATTAGTGAATTCAGCCACTTTAGGGTGCAATCAATGCTGACAGAGGCATTCAACTGTACACGTAGACTGTACAATCTCCACAGAAAAGCAATGCCAATAGAATGAGACAATGTGGAGCAGCTGAACATGAATGTAAGGGCACCATGCCCAATGCCATGCATCGGCTAGACAAGTATAGAACCCCCCCCCCCAACCCCTAGTATTGTGGAGCAGTGGACGTGCATTCTTAGTACTGATGGACCACTGAATACCTTTGAGATAAGCTGGAGCACTGTTCGTGACCCAGAACTAATCATCTATCATCAGTACCTGACCTTATGATTGCTATTTTACTTCTTATGTCATAATGAATATCACCTTTTACTGACTTCTACTGGGCAAAAGAAAGCATCTAGGACACAGCTGTTAAATCACCCTTCATGGGAGTGGGGAATACCTTGTACCAGAAGTTGACAGTAATTGTTACTCCTCCATTTAACAGGGACTCGATGTGATGCCACCTATAGTTTTAAAAACAAACATATTTTACCAAAACATTAAGAATCCTCAAAGATGAATTCAAGCTCATCCATTAATGTCAGAGGTAAAGTTCATCAACAAACTGTTGACTGTTAACTCATTGGACAGTGATAATATTTACTGTTTAAGCACTTATTTATTTTTATATTGACTGATTGACTGACTGACTGACTGATATATTGATAAATAAAGATGTGATTTCTGTATGTTGCTCCTATATATTTCTATTATGTTCACTTCAAATAAATCTAAAGGCCCTCAGGCTAAAACCAATGTTCTTTTTTAACATTACAGTCTTTTTGCCAAATTCAACAGGCTGGAGTACAGAACCAAAACAACAAAACTGTCACTGTCCAAATAATGTATGGGCTGAGCAATACATCAATAAATCATTTACAGTTATCACTTACCAGTACATTGGGATGTACAACACATCACCTGGTCCAACAACAGCCTCATATCCCATGACATTTTTAAATTGTGGAAACTTTTCATGATCAGGGTTTTCAAAATCAACCTACAATGACAACAAACACACAATTAGAAACAGTGCTGTAAATGTGCCACTAAGGCAGTGGGTCTAAAGTCATTCTCAGGGACCCCCCCCCCAACAGTCCACACTTTTGTAAAGAACTGTGTAAAGGTGGAAATGGTAGTTGTGACTGGATAATATATTAGTTAGAGAATGAGCTCAGAAAAAGTGACAGGAAGTGGGACTGATACGTTTAATGCTGTATTACTGTTTGAGTGACATGAGCCAATTAAATGTAACTAATGTGAATAATTACCACAAGAATATCCAGTTGCATCTACCAAAAAATGTTCCAAATCTGCTCAGTTCACCCTACAACTAAAACAGATTTACATATCCCTGATTACAAATTTTAAATTAAGTCCCAAATCCCAGTAATACCTGGCTCTGCCTGTCACATGGATGATGAACAGGGAAGGGGTAGAGACACTCAAACTGGTCCGGAGGAAAGAGGATGCACCTTTTGTGACCTTTGATTTGTGCAAAGAAGTTCTGCTGCTCATCATAATGTGCTGGTGTCACATTTCCTTTTCCCAGCAAAAGAATGAGGAAAAAAAATACATAAAAAAACAAAACTGACACAAATAAGAACCACTGCTGCCTTCTCAAAGATAAAAAAGGTAATTATATTAAAAGTGTTCTATTGACATGACTACAGTACTAAAAGGCTGGCAATAAATTATATAGTGTTGTACCTTCCATGCCTATGAGCAGCAGATTAGACGTTAGCTGTCCCCAGTTTCTTTTGGTTTGCTGCTTATTGATCCAGTTCCAGTTGAATCCCAGGAAATCCACAACAATTTTTCGCCCAACTGTGTCATTCAGGGTTTGCTGCAAGTATACTCTAAAAATAATGAAATTAATGTCAATAAAAAAAATTGAGGGTTTAACTGTGTACTAAATTAAAATTAAATAAATAAGACACAGAACAAATTTGAACACTTTTCCCTTTGCCCCAACTGTAGTCAATAAGTCAAGACATGTTTGGTGTCAAATGTTTCCTTCTTTTGCTTTGCACTGGAGCTACAAATCTAATGTAACTAGCAGGCAATGGAAACTGCATCATATTAATCAATGGTTCGAAGTTTCTATTACTTGTTATATATTAGCTTTGTACTAGCTGTGCAAACTTAAAGAACACAGAACACAGCTGTGCAAACTAAAAGAACACAGAACACAGCAAACTTGTCTAGCTGCCTGACTACATTTGGGGTACCACTTTAAGTCAAACACCAGTGTAGCCCATTGAAAACCCAGTCTTGGTGGGATACAGTGTTTTCTTACTCTACAATCTGTACTAAGTAGTGCAGAGTCAGCTCTTGTAGACTGAGGAAATAGTCTAGGCTGAATCTCTATATTTTGGAGAAAAGTTTACAGAGATTTTCATTATAAACTACAGGAGCCATTCACATTATATACAATAAACGTCATGCCCTTGCACAGTTTAGTATTCTCCCTTCCACATTTCTTTTTTACCTAAACAGCTTCATATTTACTGGACTAGTAGAACCATCTGTGTTGCAGGCAGGTAAACACACTCAATTGAACAGGGCAGTGGTACATACTACTTGCTGCTTGGGTAGAAGTGTAAAGAAATATTTTCCAATCCATATCATCAAACCACAATGCTCTATGGTGTATTTAAATATCAGGTTTCACACATGCTACCTCTGCATGACTGCTACAGCTCGCATGTGTTGGTCATTCATTCTCATAGCATTTGCACTACAGTGAAGTACAGTAAGCAAATTCTACACAGATCCTTCTTTCCAAATGGATAAAACAGTCAGTTACTTGCACAATAAAACATAATTTGTAAAAGAACACAATATATATTTGTTACCCATGCCAGTTTTTTAACTTTTGATTGGGTAACCGTTTCAAGACGGTTGATAGACCTACTGGGAAATGTGTATGCAATACAAAGTGTTTAACTTTTATTTCACTTGATGACAGTTAAGAATTGTAGTTTGCCTTTTAATAAAAGTGTCTGAAAAGTGTTTTCACTGGTTACATAGAGTACCTATATAGTGTGCTTCTGGGATGTGTCTTGGATGGCACCGCTCTGCTGCTCACGTAGGCTGTGTGAACTCTCTAACCAAGTGGTCACCAACTCTCCTGCTGGAGATATACTTTCCAGCACAGTTTAGTTCAAACCTGTATCAAATAGGCTGCTCCCTTACTTACCACTGATGTATCTGATGCAGCCAATAAGGGCCAGGAAGACGTTAATTAGCTGGAGCAGGTGTGGCAGACAGGGGTTGGAACTAGACTCTGCAGGAAGGTAGATCTCCAAGACTAAGGTTGGTGACCACTGCCCTAACCTCACAACATGAGAAACCGAATGTTCTGAATCACTCACACCAAACAGAGGTAGTATTTGTGAAACAGGCCTAACTCCGGGAAAGATCTCTAATGCACAAACGCTTGTAGCTTATAGCTTTACTTTGTTAAAAAGTGGTCTACTCATGTTGGTATTGTGATAGCCTGATTTTTCACCATACCTGTGTCTTTCAAGGGACCCACTGGTTGCTTTACTCTAAGCTGCTGCTTTGTGCTTCTTTTCTTTACTCTTTTCTCCAGCTTGTGCTGGCAACCAAGTCACTGTGGTGACGTTATTTGCAGTGACGAACTCCCTCTTGTGTTCTATTGATTTCATTGAACAGTTCTTTAAAGCACAAAATTTCTTTTTCTAAAAAGCTGATTTACCACAACACCACAGTAAAGCAACTACTGTTGTTTGATAGCAACCAAAGGATAGCAGAATGATACATACATGGTGAAAAAAGCGCTAATAGATTTAATAAGATGTTACAATGCTTTCCAGCCAATCAGACTGTGTGGTTGGAACTAATGAGGCTGATACTGCTGCTCAGAAATATTTCATGGAGAGAAAAAAGAAAAGCTATCAAATTTCTAAACAATGCTTTAGAGATTAAATATATAGTCAGGTTTTCACTGCCACCTGAAAGGTTTGAACAAATAATGAAATTCAGCTTTGTGTATAACACTGGAGGCACATAATGCACTATATTAAATGACAAGCATTCCAATGGCTTGAATCATGACCCACGATTTTGTCAGCACTAGGCCACAGAAAGTGAGAATGATATAGGACAAATAGGGGTGTGACATTTTCATGGTGTAAGCTAGTCAAAAGACAGTATCAGTTTCACAGTATCAGGCTAATAAGCTATTAGACTAAATGATCAACACAAATTGGTGAAAATGAAAAGTAAAAAAATATGAAATACTTATTCCAACATCACCATTCCAACAGGCATTTAATTTAACACATTACTTGATTATCCTTGAACATAGTACTTCCCCATTTTACTTTTTGTAGGGGGAAAATCAAGTGTTTCAATCCCATGATCAGGAATGCAGAAGATATAAGCAAGAGATCTGACAGTGATTTTTACTGCATTTTTTTTTAAAAAGTTAGTTCTGAACATCAAATCTGATCGGCTGTATGCATTCTAACTGTGTTGTAAAATCTATTAGCAGTAGTGTGACACCAATATGGATACTGTATCGGAGCTGACAATAGCACGTAAATACAGTATTGGTATTGGCAAAGGAGAATACGTGATCATGAACCAATTTCTGACACACGTGCATGCTACTGAGTGACGTGTACATGCGTACAGGTAGATGGTCCTTAACTGAAGTACAGCACAACGCCAGTGCTGGATTAGTTCAGATCTGAGACAAGCAGTAACAAAAAAAAATGCTAAGTGTAAAATCCATAACAGCTGTTGAAGAGGAGTCACTAGTAGTGGGTGATACATCAGTTGCATATTTTTCCTAATGTATTAGCTACAAATAAGCATAAACAACAATGTAGAAACAGTGGAAAAAAACACACTAATGGTAGCCCTTTACTGAATGGCTGCGTTAGACATGTCAATAATCCCTCTTCTCCCTCAGTGCAGTCAGTTGCGGTGTGAGTTAACGTTATTCTAGGTGATTATTGAGGGAGTGAACTTTAGGGAGATATACAGAAGGAGCAGTCTGGGGTTAACCTCTAGCATAGCAGCCCTCTGAGGCTTTAGCATGAATCACTCTTATATTTACTAAACTCCAGAAACATGTGGTGCTCATAGATGTAAGCATGAGTGTATGGGTCATATCCAGTAAATGACTTGAGAAATTTGACCATGGAACACTTAGCACTGTTTCTATCATGCAAGAGAAGCTGCTGCACCGGCACCAAGTTTCCCAATGCTATTCATTCAAGATTAGTATGTCTTATTTGTAACACAGGCCACTGCTTTTATTATAATAAAATATTTAAAGTGTATAAATATTAGACGTTTAGAGGCATCTATTGAGTAGTTCGGTTAGACAGAGTTTGTATTCTTTACATTGTTACTATTTCTTCTTTCATAACAATACAGGTTGTAAGCATTAAAACACGATGTTTAAATGTGGCAGGGGAACAGCAGCCAAATCACTGCATGAAGAGGTCAGTACTCTTCCCATCAGCTGGCAAAGTAACTGCTTAGTCATGCCCCACAGCAGTTTTATTTCCTGGATTGGATTTCTTGTACCTCAACACTTTCCACTACTTTGCACACCTGCTGTTACAACATTTCACTGTAGGCCAACAGTCTGAACTCAAACCGCTCACTTGATCTTAAAAATATGTATAAACCATGCACTGTTCTGAACAATGTAAGGCTTACCTCTCTTTTCCACCCTGCTCTTCTGTCTGATGCATCTTCTCTACAAACTCTGAAAACTTCATTTCCATTCGGCGTGATTTTGGCACAAAGTTCTCGAAGTTCGACATTTTCTTCTCATCATAATATAAGAATTTGTGGTTTTCAGAAATGTACACTGAGAAGTCCCCATTCCCGATGTTCTCTTGCAAGTAATTTATGTCCCACTTGAGTGCTGGGTACACCAAGTTGGTATCCGTTAACACAACAGGTTCCTGTGAAAAAGAGCAGGAAAATGATGTACAATTTTCAAAGCATTAAAAAAAAATAAATAAATAAAATAAATATATATATGTATAATATATTTATTCAATCTTTATGTGCAGGGACTAAATGTATACAAGCATGTATACAAGCATTTCATTACTGGCATCTATTCATTTTTGTCATCACAGTCAGACTTGTAGAGAAAATATTTTTAAATATGGGATGAATCAGGTTAGGGTTCATCGCCCTATTGTGCATTAGGAACCATCTGTCCATCAGTACAGCCAATAGCCAAAAGCAGTCTATTCTAACAAAGACAAAGTAAGACGTATTCTAGTGCCTGTACTCCTCTTTTCAGCATTTATGCATCCCTTCACAGTCACATCCAGACATGACTTGGTGAAACTAGGGTCTATGCAATTGCTTAGGGTGGTCTATCAACATAATTTTTTTTAAAAATGATTTATGAGTTCTGCTCTTTAAGGATTGGCTCTTTAAAATGCACACAATCTCCATGGCAAAAATAAGACCTTATTATGACATGACTATGGACTAAACCAATTTTTTTTTTTTAACTTTTAAGAAGACTACCACGGATATGGTGTTCTACATGGTTTTGAAGCCCACTCAACATCTTGTTCATAAATGTTTATACTGTCGCAAGTACAACTTTATCCTTTTTTAAGTATAATATTCTTCCAAAATTCTCCGTATGCCTGAGCAATTATTGTCGAGAGCTGCTTGTATGCAGTACATCGACAACGCACATGAGTAACAGCACTTTTTGGCATAAAACCGACGCTGCTGCCTCTGAGAAAGTGAGAAGTGCTACGTGACCGAAGGAACGTACACTGTCTCGCACGTAGGCGGGCAGCCTGCCTGCGCTGCAACCGCTCCTGCCCGTAGTAAGCGATAAAGCAAGGAGACGGAAGCGACAGGCGGCAGATTAAAGAGAAAAAGAAAAAGAAAAAAAACTATGGACAGATAATATTTGAGAGGTTCGCGTGCTTTGGTTTAGTGATGGTTTTCGTTTGGAAAAAAAAAAGTCTCTTTCAAAACAACCGTTTTTTTGACACCTTGATAATTCAAGGCAGAGAGGGTTAGTGTTTTTTTTTATCTAAAAGTTTAAGCTCAAACAGGAAGCTTAACAGAAGCACGAATTGTGGCAGGCTGTTGGAAATAAACTGCATGGGGCACTGGCAGTAGCAGCAGCGGAGGCGTGGAGCCCAGTTTTGCCTGACGGCATGTGTTATCATTATCATTATGGGAGTTAACTTGGCTAACAGCTAATGGCTGGGTAAAAGCGGACCAAACACTTCATTGTATTTACTGCGCTTTCAAACTCCGCTGATAAAAATGACATTTGTCTGCAATCGAGAGTGCGACTCCACCTGCTCCTTTTCCCCAGGGCATACATCTACAACTACATACGCTGCAGAACCAAACAGGTTTGCCAGATTGCAAGGTTACCACTTAAAGTTACCTTAAACTTGACTTTCGAGTTCGCAGCCAGAGAAACAGTTAGCTAGCTAGACTGCTGACAGTTACTGCTAACATTATATTAGACAGTCTTTATGTTCTCCTCTTCAAAATGCAATACTAACTTGACAATTCGTTAGCGTTACCCGATGAGACTAAGTTATATGTAAACACAACAGACAGACAGAGGCATGTCTAGCTACCCTGAAGTAGGTAGCTAGCTAACTAACTTGCTTAGAATTATCTGCCCACGTTTAACCTAAATTATTTTTTAAAACCCAACTGGCTATCAAAATAAAATGATATGAACCGCGGCTGTCTACTAGCTAGTAAGGTTAGTTAGCAAGCGTTAACTGTATACATGATTCAGCTGGCTAGCGGTGAGAAGCTAACTGGCTAGCTAAGCACAACCCAGACAACATTACCTCGTTATCGATAAGGATCTCTGCGCGGGGGTCCGTATGAGACAGACGAGGGATCTGTCTTGTTTGAAAGGGGTACTTTCGAAGCTGAGAGTCCGTCCACCCCGAACTATGAACACCTGAAAAAGCGCTAGCGCCGTCGTTGGACGTGGGGTCGGCTTCTACCACTGTGGCCGTTGCCATTTCCTCCTCCGTCTCTCTCTGCGCGAATGAAGATTGTCCTCGCAGACTGTACAGCTCGTTTTCCTGATATGAGTTAAACAGACGAAGCTGCGTAAGCACAAGCAAGCCAAGTGGTTCAGAGCTGCCGAGAACTCTGAGGACAGCTTAGTTAGCTAACTAGCTAACAGGTAAGTGAGCATCGCGGACAAGAGGATGTGGGATTTGTTTGGCAATAGCGGCGGGCGGCGCTGTGTGCGGCGGTTTTCTGGAACAACGGCGTGAAGCTAGAAATGCTGCCGTGTTTTGTTTCAAAACTATTCTGGGGATGACGCGCTCCGCGCACCTGTGCGTGCCTCTTATACTCCTCTTCTCCTCTTCATCATGCATGAATAAATTATGGGCAGTTGGTTAGACGAATAGATCTTTATGAGGCTGTGCTTCTTTTGGGCACCCTTAATAAAAGTGTATGCAAGCAATGGTGTGGCGAGGTCTTTTCTTTTGAAAAGGAGATATTTAATTGCGCTAGGCATTCTTTCGCTTTAAAGGGCCCATATTCTACCTTTTTATTTTGATAGTATGTTATGTTTTTTTGTTTTTGTTTTTTGATCCAATATCCAATTACGGCATTTGTGGTTTTCGTGGATTTTTTTACACTGTTTACAAAATGCTTTTTTTTTCTTTCATTTTTGTAAAAAAGTGGTTTTCTGGGGCTCTTTACAGCGAACCTTTGAGAATTTGAAGTACTGAAGAGCATAACCTGCTAAACACAGCTCATCAGTTTCACCCAGATTCCAGGAACAATGTAAACTTGGCCGAAACTCAGTTTTAAGTCATTTAGAAATGTAATTGCAAAGAAAAAAAAAGCACAGGCCTTTGGGTAACATTGTGATGCTGCACGTCTCATAATCTTGTGACAAATGATTTGTCACGATGCCTATTAGGTGCAACATCCCATTCCTGCAGCGCTTATCCATAGATTAGAGTGCCCTAAACTAGATGTTGCACCCAAGCATTTGCAGCAAAAGCCGCAATTGAAGAGTTTCATTCCAAAATGCTGTATATCTATTTGTAACAATTTAGGATTGAATGATGTTTTGAAAAGCTGATGTACAATGGAAAACACATTTTTATCACTGTAATAAAGGTTGTATTAATCCTAAAATCTCATTGATATGTCTTGAATATGTAAAGCCCACTCCCAACAATGTATATCAGGAAACATATAAAATTCTTGAAATTCTTGACTAGTTCATGAGCTGCTTTTCCAACAAGGATGGAATTCAAACCCACGCATGCAGAGCACAGCGAATAAGCAATCTGTCACCTTAACTTCTCAGCCTCCTCAACCATGTTCCCGTGTTCTACATGAAATTTATGAAGACCACGTGCAACATGTGGGTTTCCTTGTTTCTAAACCTCTGGTTCCTCTATTGCTAACACATCCAGGAGAGTCCCATGAATGCAGAACACGCAACATTAGCTCCTCCCACGAATGCAGAACACACAACATAGCCCCTCCTACAAATGCAAAATACACATCATTAGCTCCTCCCACAAATGCAGAACATCCAACGTTAGCTCCTCCCACAAATGCAGAACACACATTAGCCCCTCCTACAAATGCAGAACACCCAACACTAGCTCCTCCTACAAATGCAAAATACACATCATTAGCTCCTCCCACAAATGCAGAATATCCAATGTTAACTCCTTCCACAAATGCAGAACGCATGACATTAGCTCCTCCCACAAATGCAGAATATCCAACGTTAACTCCTTCCACAAATGCAGAACGCATGACATTAGCTGCTCCCACAAATGCAGACCACATCATTAGCTCCTCCCACAAAGGCAGAACACACAACATTAGCCCCTCCCACAAATACAGAAAAACGAGCTCCTCCCACAAATGCACACAACATTAGCTCCTCACATAAATGCAGAACACACAACATTAACCCCTCCCACAAAGGCAGAACACAAAACATTAGCCCCTCCCACAAATGCAGAACACACAACATTAGGTCCTCCCACAAATGCAGAAAATACAACATTAGCTCCTCCTACAAATGCAGAACACACATCATGAGCTCCTCCCACAAACGCAGAACACACATCATTAGCTCCTCCCATAAATGCAGTTAAATAGTTAGTAACTCTGTCTAGTTAACATATAGTTTTTGGCTAATTCTAGCTGCAGGGTTGCCACTAGATCCAATGTACTGGGCTATGTACCTCAGTAAATTGTTGCTACGGCCCACCATAATCATGGGGGAAAAGTCAATATGTAAGATGTAAGATTTCATGTTTTAACTTTGTTGGGCTATAAGGCACAAACATTGTAACCATGCAAATTTATCATAGACACTACATTTCCCACAGTGCCCCAGCATCTTGCATTTGAACACAGCTCTTTTCAGTAGGATCAATTGGCTCAGCTCACAAATAAGAGCTGGTTCTTTCAGCTCCCAAACAGCTCTTCATTCAGGAGCACTGACCGTGTTTTTTCCCAAAATTAGCAAAGTTAGTGATATTATCTATTATTTAATTTCCAATAAAACCTTACCCTATTGTGCTAATTAACAAAAAGCACTTTGTTATAAAAAAAATAATAATAATAAGTCAGATGATGATGAGTAGTTGTATTAGCAGGAATCACAAGATAGGCAGACAAATTCAGACAAATCCATCAACCAGTTCTCAATAAACCACTCCAGGTTAAAAAAAATAAAAATGAGAGGAATGAATGAGGCACACTTGAAAACACAGCTAAAAATTACATACAACCAGAGATAAACTAACAAAACAAGGAAAAGGTTTGGGAATAATAAGGGGGCAGAGCAGAAATGTTCTGAGTAGGTCCAGGAGGGGCTTCTATGATTTTCGGGTACAGCATCAGATGAGCTACCAATGTTTTTCAATTATTTACAAAACAAAGTAAATAAATAATAAATTGTCTCTTTAATGCAACTCAGCTCCCAACGTTCACGTAAAAGAGTCATCTTAAGAAGCTAACTTGTTTGTGAACGACGTCACTAGTCTCTATAGTCAATCTGCACAGCAACTGCTCTTAGTACAGAGCTGGCAGTAGATGGACAAAGTATTCAGCATCAAAAATGTACAAAAGTTTGCATGTCAACAGAGCAGCCAGAGTCATGTTAATGCTTATGTTAGAGGTTAAACACTTGTAGCCTACTAAAAAACATCAGAAGACATAAGTTATTGAAGACATTAGTTAAGTCAGCAACTTATGTAGTCTAATTGAATTTAATACATCAATAATATTGTATTTAATTTTCAAATAAAAATGATATTATGCAGTCGATAGCTTCTCATGTTTACAAGCTTGTGTTATAACTAGCTTGAACTGAGGGTGCAAAGACAAGAGCAATGAGAAAACCTTGAAGACAAAGACATGTAGAGTGTGCCTCTGTACAACCAGCAGTCTAGAATCACACCTGGTTAGCTACTAGTTTTTGCTGGCATTTTTTAGGATTATTTCTAATTAAAAAATCTCGGATTTTTTTTTTTTTGACTTTTTTTTATCTTGCTCTTCTTTATAGTTGCAGATATATTTAGTCTTCTGCAACCCACAGTTTAATTAAATTTCTGTTCCATTGACGTTTATTTGGATCTTTATATATTTGTGTCCTGTTCATAGACATTCATTTATTTGTTCAGTAATTTGTTCAGAAACAATGAGACCCATTAGCTGCTCTCAGTCATACAGCTTTTGAGCAGGATTAGTTGAACTAGATTGCATTAACCCAATACTGGCTATTGCATTTCCTTTAAAACTAAGAAAGAAAGAAAAAAATCATATAAAACCTAATCTATTCTATTATGATTTGGGGCACAATCATTTTCTGAAGATGTATTTATAACATGACTTATAAATATATTGTAATGTAGCTTAACCATGTTCCTGATTTTGTCACTGATGTAGTTACATTAGCAGCAACTCCCTTCACCAGCAGGTGGAACCCTAGCACTGCTGAGATCTTCATCCTTAGATATCACTGGAAGGCCTGTGTCACTTAAAAATTGTATGGTGGAAGAAAATCACCCACAGGTTTTATAGGTGCTTAATTTTCAGGGTATACTTCACAGCCTTTACAGTTGATTTTACAGTTAAGATCTGAAAATAGGATACACCTTGAGTTTCAGGTAGACAAGCATACCATCTAAATATGAAACATATGTAATTTGACATAAATGTGAAAAAAATGTAAAACAGTACCAGCTGACATGAAGTGATCTGAACTAAAATGGCTCAAAAGAGCTGACTTTTATGTTGGTAATGAGAACTTTAAGGTATCTATTCAAGTTAGAAGGAGGCATGTTACTCTGAAACTGTTTGTGTAAGTTTAAATAAAGAAATAAACCAGAAAGTTTTATTGCTTATCCACATTTATCTTAAAACTATGATTCTAAGCAAGTGTCCTCAGAATATAGTTTCCCACTGACCACTGCTCTCACATCCGTACTGACCCTGGCCCCCTCTTGGTGTTGTGTGTTCAAAGCTCCTAAGTCACAAATCCTATTAGTCAGGGTTTCTCAGAACCATTAAATGTAATTTTCCCATTCTCCGTGGATCATATCATCACTTCACTTGGGTAAAATTTGCCTTGGGTAGTGTTGATTTCTTTTCTTGGGTGAAAAACAACCTATTTTATATAATGGTATAGGTTATAATTTACATCATTTCAGTTTGCATGATTTTGCACTTTATAATATTTAAATACATGAGTTGTTATCTTTATAATATGTGATATTGAACATTTACTTCTACATTGTAAACTTAAATTAGTTGACATAACTTTAATAAATCATGCAAACTTATCACCTCGAAAAATTAAGTTACATAAGCTTAAATAACTTTATATTTGAGTTATAGTTACTTTCTAAACTTACTTTTAAATAATTTCAACTGTACTATTTTTTCTAGGTCTGTTTACTGTGATTTTGTTCAGTTAACTTGAATCAGCCTAGTTTGTAACCTTTCATTTAATTGTCTATTCATCTGTAATGCATCTGTATCAACTGAGAAACAGCTGCATTATTTTAAATGGATTGTTACATACTTTGATGAACAAGTGGCTGCATATTCAATGGCTACATATTCTCTCATCAATTTCGCCATGCAGTAACTGGACAGGAGTCACCTATTTCTGCAGACTCAACTGGCTTCAGGCATTTTGCCATTCTGTTCAGAAACTGCTTAGGGCTGGAATTTACCAACTGAAAGTATTCTTGGCTACAGGCTAAACTGATAAACCTGAATACAAAACATCATCATGGTGAGAATGATAAAACCATATAAAATGCAACTGAACATTTTAGCATGAGAATACGCTTTGGCATAGAAATGACATTATGCAGAGAACTAATGAAAAATGAAGTTAATTCACAGAAACCAACAAAACTACTAAGATTCTGGGAAGCTTTTTGGACAAAAGACTCATCAGTCTGTAGTACTTCTCCAGATTGATTGCTCTTAACTAGATTTACCTAAATAACTAAGGATTCTAAAAGAAATAGTACACGTAAATAGAGGTGCGTTAGTAAGTTTAACAAATGAATAAAGTAAACAAAAAAAGAAGTTAGTGCAATTGTTACGTTTTACAGGGTGGAGTAACAGGCAGCTTTGAGCATATCTGGTAGCCAGTGGATTTCCCCCAAAAATCGGATGGTTTACGGTTAAGTGAGACCGGAAATGACCTTCCTAACTGAGTGAGTAGATTTAGACATACATGTATAGACAGCTCCTAAACTTCAGCTCCTCCTCCAGAGTGTCACCTCTCTCTCAGCCACCTCAGCCTTATGCCCCACTGCAAATCACAGTGGCAAGGCCAACCTCTCCGTCACAGGCGTTGTCTCATTTGAACATACACAAGATAAAAGTTTAGCAGTGAAGTTGATGAAATATTTTTAGACTCCAGTAGAGGATATCTTATTAAGAGACTTGTTAATTTTCAAGACATGATTCTGGCAACCGTGGTTTGTCCTCTTCGTGTCTAGCTGTAATTTTTTCCTATTATGGTGTATGGTATCATGCTGGTTAAACAGATTAAAATGCTATGTTTGCCCATTTAAAATGGTAATAATGTGGACAAGCTAATGAGGACCTCCAAAACATCAGCCTCCCATTCCAAAACTACTGATATGGGGCCTGTTTCCCAAAAGCATCTTAAGCGTGTTAAGACCATCTTAACTAGGAGAGAGATTCTTCAGTGTGATGCTCACTCTACCATTTAAGAGTCATCTTTGTGCTAACAAGCCCTGTTGTTGATTGTTGATTATGTTGATTAAAATGTATAATGCTAGAATTGAAAAAAGGTGTCCCATTACAAGCCAGGTCTACTAAGTTATCTGCTCCATTGGGTTAAGACGGGAGGTTGAAACTTCGATAGCACCCATACAAAATTAAAGCCCTATCTGATTAGTGTCAAGAGGATTTTTTTCTTTTCCTCATAAATAAGATGTCAACGAGGTGCTTCATTGACACGTCTCTTAGTAAAGAAGACTACACTTGCAGGAATGAACTTATCCCATTCAATAGAGGTTTAATCTGCTTTTTTAAGAGAACATCACTTTTGGAGGGCCTTAGTTTTGTCACTGTGTGCTACTGTAGAGTTGGCACTTTTGCAGGTGGGATGGTAGCTGGCAAGTATTTGTTTATAAACCCTACTTGTTTAGATACAATACTTGAACTAACTTCTATTCATCAAACAGTGTGAATCCATGCAAAGCCTTTTCCCAAAGTCCCTTTGAAGGCGACAGCCCATTGAAGGAGGAGGAGAGGGGGATTAGCTTCTTCAGCAGCGGTGCATTTCCGAGGGAGCTGATTAGCTCGCCATTCATTGTTAAATCGAGCAAAGGAAGGCCCTAGAGGAGTGAAAGGAGCCAAATAGGTGGGCTTGGAATAAAACATCCACAGGAAGCCCAATACAGGCTACATGAAGTTTCCCAACATTTTTTTTCCCCTGAGATGATGGCGTGAAAAGGAGATTAGCATACAAAATTAGAGGCAGGATAATTTGAGGGGCGACTTGGTTCATGTTTTCCCTCTGTCTCGACAAAGTTAATTAAACTAGTATTAAACAGTAAAGAAATATCCAAGTGCCAAGGCGTTGGGAGTTCTTTGAGGATTACTAAGACAGAAAAAAAGAAGCGTTTGAAAGAAGAAATTGAGGAGAGGCGTGAAGGAAGGAAGACTATAATTAAAACTTTTTTCTTATTGTTTCCCTGCCCCAGGGTTATCTGACACTAAATTAAGAAATAATAAGACAATATATACTGCACACTTTAAAAGTTAGAAGCAAAAATCTATGCTCAGAACATGCTATTTAAAATAAGCAGTTCTAGTAAATAGCCTGTAGTATATGATAACCTAATAACAATATTAAGAGTATTAATAGTGTTGTTGTATATACATACATTGTTAGAATTAACATCAACAATGAAAAATTCAGTACCACTTATAGTGACATAATCCAAAAAGCCTGCCATGTTTATAATGTGCAGTTCAAATGTGCCTAGTTTCTAAAACATGCATACTTACAAATCACAAAAGAATATACCACTAAAACAACAGACACAGATTACATAGCTTTAATTATAAAAGTATGGTGAAAAAAATACAAAAGAAAAAAAGAACTAACAAAAAACAAAACACCACTACATAATATATGGGCAATAAATAAACAATATACAAAGTGCTTCATCTTATATACACTTAATTTACAGAATTGACATCCAGTGTGATTATTATCCCAGTTTCAAAATATAACAACATTTAGTTGCTGCAACAGCAACTAATAATTCAGAAAATGGAGAGAGTAGAGAGACTTCTGCAGGTGAAATTTTGGAAGACACTATTGTCTAATGTGCTCTACTTTATGGTTAAATATGGTTTTCAGTGCTATCTTAAAAATGCATTATGAAAGGCATCCATGTATGTTTGAGTATGTCCTTACAAATATATATATATCACTTTGAGGAATATTTGTGAAGACAGAAAGCCTTTTTAAAATATTGATACCATCACAAAAAGTTTGTTTTTTCTTGTCCATATGCAGTTTAGGTCTTTTGAATAAGTCCAGTATTTTATTGATAATGCATCACCAAAACCCAATGATATCCAAACGATAATAATATTTATTGGGTTTTTCTTCCACGTTAAAGATTACTCTTTACTATGCTGAATCCTTCCTTTAGTGCTTCTTCTTTAAGCGAAGGCCTCTCCTTCGACTTGCACTGTCATTCTTAACCCGTTTGGTTCTCTTCACACAGTAGTACTTGGTGACAGTCTTGCGGCACTGCTCACATTTTACAGCACAGCACCAGTGGAACTTGCAGTTGCAACTGGACACTGTCTCTGCTCTGCGTTCTTCCACGGCCAGTCCGCAGTCACTGCAGAGCCGCTTACAGCTGCGCTTCTCCCACTTGCTCAGATTCTTGCCCTTCTTCAAGCACTCACGGCCTTCAGTGCCCGGCAGACCCAGCGTACGGTTTTCCACGCAGTAGTCGGGAGAATCCTCCAGGTGCACCAGCTCTTTACGAGAGATGGAACTGAAGGTTTCGGCAATGGCCCCACGGCTGGCTGCACTGTTGCCCGCACCTCGCAGAAGGTCCACCTTAATGGCACGGTGATACTTCTCCTTCAGGTAGTTGCCCACTTCCCGAAACTCAGGCAACTGCAGCCAGCACGTCTGTGTGGTGCAGCTGCCGGACACACCGTGGCACTTACACGTCCTCTGCATGGTTCCTTTCACCGCCTGGTTTAAGAAAAGATCTCAAATTAAAGAAATTACTGATGTGCCTCAGCAAAGAGTGCATCTCATTCAAGAATTAATTCCATATGAACAATTCTTGACTATCCTTCATTCACTTACCTCAGCAGCCGCTTTTCACTGTTTGAGGACATTTTGATTGGATTTGAATTCATCACTTTTCAAGACAGCAGACAATGAACTCTTTATTGGATAGACTATATGTTCAAAACATCCACTTGACAAAAAGAGGAATTCAGTGAGTTAAAGAAGAGCTGGTTCAAGGTTCAGGTCTGAGTGTATTTTTTTCTTCTTTTCAACTTTTGTGCCCACACAATATTTCTTGACTTCAACCGAAACAAACATCTGTCATTTGAAAGGAGCGTTTCTTTTCTCAGGGAGGCATTTGCTCTCGATAGGAGGCAGAATCAAGGTTTCACAGCGAGCTGAATTGTTCAGCACAGGAAAGGGGAGTATTTATTTAGCATGGCCATTGTCAAGTTGTTTTCTGCTATGGGCATTCCCAATGGTTAATCCATTCAGGAGGAAATGAAAAAAGAATTCTTTCGCATTTTTTTTTTCAGTTACAATGATGCTCCAGGTGCCACAGTGAGCTGACAAAACCTGCAGACAGGGCACTGGCAGGAAAAACAAAGAGCACTTCAGCTGCATGGATGTGATCCCTGTGGCTCTCTCAAGTGCAACAAAGACCAACATAAATGTAAGATCCTTATTGCAAGAATAAAACTAAACACTTATTTGAGGAGCAACAGAATACAGAACCTTTGCAACGTGTGGCCCCCTAGGTCTTCTAATTAAGCTCGCACCACTGATCCCAAGAATCTTGAGTTGAGGTCTTGTCATAAAGGACATTCACAGGCCATAAATAGGCCCATCTGGTACAGCGCACACACTGGTGGGGGGAACGAGTGGCACCTTGCTTATAAGGCCATGAATGAAACTCTTGGGTGGTAAGTGATCGTTGGAAGCACTGAAAAATGATTGAAAGGGCACTTTACATTCTGTTGGTGGCCAAGGGAGCTGCCTACATTTCATCTCATAGTGCAGGAGTAAATCCCCTACTCTACCAAACTATCTCTAGCACTCTCTCATAAGCTAAAGGCGGTGAGAGGAACTGGAGAACCCTTCTCTGACATTCAGAACAGGGAGTAATACCTTGCGTCCCGCTTCGTTGTTGTGCAGGTTCATGGCAGCCCGTGCGTCTTGGCCAGTTTCTAGTGCGTCCACAAACTGCTTGGAGATGGCCTCTCCAAAGCCCACATTGTCACTGCAGCCTCCCCACAGCCAGCCCTGGCCACCTGAAACATTGCAGTAGGTTTGTTTATGCACAAGTTACATTATACCCAATATCAAAATCGCGTATGTACAATACTGCTCATGTTATTGTCTGTCATAGTGTATCTACCCCTTTATATCTGCAATATATTTACCTCGCTGACCATTCCTGGTGTCATCACAACCACAGTTGTCAAAGTCACCAAGGCTGCAGTTCCTTGTGAGGGTGTACATGACCCCAGCGGAGCTGATGGCATGGACAAAAGCTGTCTCTCGGTTTGCTGCAAGTAGACATAACCTTGAAATGATTTTTCATTTTTGTGCTCCCACTTCTCAGATTCATGAACTTCATCAAATTTCACCTGCATGTGACTGCATGGCTGTAAATGAAAGTAATTATTAAATGTTCACGCATTTGTTAAATCAAACAGTGAAGCGCACAGCTGGCATAAGCTCAGCAGCCTCTCAATTAGACAGGGGTCGGCACTAGACCGGGTCAGGTTCCTTTTTGGCACTTGAGGAATGCCCAGTAAAAGGAGCCTAAGGCAAACCTTTGACCCACACCCTTCAAATTGAGAGGACATCCATTTCACTCATTCTCACTGCCACATAGTATCCTCTAGGTGGCCTTTCTATTTACCTTCTAACAGACTAGGTTTAAACCGTATCAGAGAGTAATGTTTACAGTCATAGTAAACATTGAGAAAGTTTGTTTTGAGCAGTGGTAACATAATTGCTGAATAAAACTGAACAAGTACTACTTCTATATATAAAATAACCCCTTAACAAGCAACAAAGGTTTCTTACACACTTCTGTAACCAAGGAATAGCTCCACAAGTTTGTGCTGAAGTCCCTATAGTTACTGAATAATATGAATTTGTATTAAAAATAAACCTGGCATGTTAAGGGGTTAAATAAAAGGAAGAACCATGTTAAATCATGCATCTTAAAAGGAAATTCTCACATTTTTTCAAACATTTCTGCATAATTAAATGGGAAGGATGTAAACAAAGTTATTTAGAGTGGTTTGATGTGAAATGCTCCGTTGTAGATATATTTACTCAGACTTGTTCACAGTGGTGGTGATATGAAACAGATGTAACAATTGCATGCATTGCATGCCTCCAAAAGCTCCCTTGCAGAAAGTTATTACATAAACTGGTTAGAAATATGCTGAATATATGAGATATATATTTTTTTTTTATTGACCACTACTTTACCATTATCAACATTATAAAAACTCAGAAGACACATACAGGTTCACTGGTGGTTTTGGATAGTAAATGTTATAGCTATACTTCCGTTGTGGACCTCATGACCCCTGGTTCCTATCACCACCACTGTAAAGAAATCTGAGTCTGTAATGTTCTCTACAATTCAGCATTTCACAATAAACCACTCCTTAATGACTTTGTTTACATCTCAAGGATCTAATTATGCAGAAATTATGAAAAGTCAGTGGACCTGTCCTTAGGATTTCCGAGCTTAAATAAAGAATATGAAAAAGTGCTTCCTTAGTTGTAAAAAAATATAGGACTCTAATTATTAGATTAGCAGATCTGCAGTACTTGAAACATGATTAACTAAAGTGCTGAATTTTGACCAAACTCATACACACTCACCACTTCTGAGTCCACTGTGGGTGGAGAGCTGCAGGGCTCGTTCTGGACAGTTCCAGCGGTCCCAGGCGAACTGATACTTGCATTCCTCAATCCCACTCTGAGCCCCTGCAGCCACACTGCTCGAATAGATCAGGTAGGCCTGCAAAAGCATCAAAGCATTAATTTCTTTGGCAGTTTAATACTGTAGTAATAACAATGATGAATAACACTAATTTGATATATATTTTTTCCCAATTTATGTTTTTAAAGTGTAATTAAGCACACATTATACATAGATAATTAATGACTGGCAGTGGTAATATATACTTCACAGAAAATTCACATTATTGTTCAGATTTTAAAGGATGCAGCCTGTTTCGTGAACAAAACTGACCCCAAAAATAAAGGTCAACACTTCTTCTGTGGTTTGGTTTTAACTATGTTGCTCGTTGAGACTGTGACTGATACATGCTAATATGTCTCAAGTGGGCTAGGAAAGATTGCACTACAAACGCTCTCACAGGCAACTGGTGTGCTAATGATGACCACCCACCAAACCCCCTTTCCTGGCCACTCAGTACAACTGGACCCTTCAGAACATAACAATGTGAATGAGTTCAAGTGTGTGAAAACCAATCTTTCCAATCTATCTCAGAGAAGTGAGTTACACCCCAGAGTCAGCAGATCATAGATGCATAAAGAAATCACCACCACCATGAAAGTGTTGTATAAGAGAAAAAGTCTGCAGTGTATTCATTTAACATAAAATAGCAATCTACTTAAAATAGTGAATGCTGGGAGATTTTGAAGACTGTCTTTTTTTTAGATAAAGATCTGGGGGGATGATCAAAAGAATGCTGGCTTACCTTTGGGCCAGTCATCAGGAAATTATTCACTGACCTGGAAGATAGAGCAGCCTATTAACTGGGCTTGGGTGTTAGTTCTCACCCATCACCAAATAATTGTAACTATTTCTGCATTTATACTCAAAACGTTTTAGGCAGACGTATATATCATACAACAGCATTAGAATGAATTAGACAGTTCTCATAAACTCTGTTTCACATGTGCATGACAATGAGTGATAAAAACAGTGATGCAAAAAGAAGAAAAGGAGAGTTTCTGAAACATTAGAATGACTTCAAATGAAATTATGCCTTTTGAATGAAACTAAAGTTGCCTTAGAAATTATGGCTTGATTTACTTTTGTGTTGAATACAAAACGCGAAATTCTGGAAATGAATTAAGGAAACACCATAGGAACTTTTTCATCCTTTCTTTCTGTACTGGGCCTAATTCTGTTCTAAAATCTCATTTAGGTTTCGAAATGTAGCCAAAACACGTTAATATTAAAAGATAAAAAGTAAAATGTTTTAGTGTGGTTAGTGTAGGTAAAGTCTGAAAAAAATGATAAAATATAAGACACGATAAAAGATAATAACTCACCAACTGCAGCACGACTTCATGTGAACCATGAGGATGAAAATGTAGTAATAAACGTCCAAATGTATGAACATCCTGAAAGAGGACTGGCAGACGCGTCTTTAGCTCGGAAATAAGCTGCAAGCGAGCTGTAAAGTTACATGCAGGACTCAGAGGCTGGGCTCTCATGTGTGAGCCAAAGGGGGCTCTGAAATGGAGCTGCTCTCATCCCAACAAGAGATTATCTGCTTCATTAAAGATTTTCCCCTTCTTACTGCTTCAGCCAATCAGAACTATTGTACCAAGGAGAGATTGAAATGATCAAAAGGGCACCCCGGGTTCCTCTGGCCCAGCTAGCTGGGAAGAGCTCGCTGTGTTAACAGTTGGAGGGAATGAATATGAAACCGAATGGGATCACTGATCTCCTCGAGTTGGGCCTTCAAAACCCGTCTGAGCAGCAGCCTGAGAGACCAGGATACAGCAGGCCAGGCCAGTGAGCGGCTCTGCTCGGGGATTACTGCGGTTATTGCGGGGATCAAACAGCAGATGTTATTTGGGTTCTGTTTTTGTTGAGGAAATTAGCACAGTTTTAGACTGAATCATCCTTAATTTAAGACCACCCTTTATGTAGACTGAAAACGGCCATTTGCTGTTCCGATAAACGCTCCTACCGTTTACTCGACACTTTTTAGGCCGGGGTGTCCGTTTGAAGGAGAATGGCAATAATGGCAATGGTTAGAGAGTCTAAAACTCCACATATAGCCTACGCAAGGTGATTAATCCTCTGATTCGCTTTAATCCACGCCAAATAGTCTAACCTGTCAAATGAAAATGTCTGCAAACAAATTCTCTGGACGGAAGAGACAAATTAAGAGAGCAAACTGAACAGACACTGAGGCAGATCGACATAAATAAGCCAATGTGTGTATTTGCTGTTAATCCGGACAGAAGCAGAGCTCTGAAGCTGCTCTGGCCTTTACTGCAGCTTCTCTGTGCTTCTTTTTCTCCTAAGAAAAGCAGGATTAAGGAAAGTTATCCGGGAGATTCCGAGAGACCTTTTCGGATTATGCGCTGAAAGGGTTTAATGAGGCTGATGTGGGGAAAAAGTGTAAAAAGTATCAGAATCATCAAATTTGCTAAAATCATTGCAGTGTTTTTGTCTAATCAGCTAATTAAATTTACACACAAACGATAAAACAACGACCGTCTTTCTTCGTCATCTTGGAACGGAAAAAGAAATATTTCCGAGACAGCACGTTTAATCTCGTTTAACTGTTTATTAAATACACACTTACGTCTATTTCAACAACATCTCAGAGTTCTGTTAGAACTGACCACAGCTAGAACTAGTACAGTTAAATATCTACTTTTGAGAAAGAAGTGAGGAAAAGACTGGAACAAATGTTATGATGCACTCTCTATAGGCAAACATCGTTTTTTGATCTCATTCTTTTCACTAAATCTCATTTAATAAATTGTTAGAAATGTATGTACAGAAAAAGACGGATGGACCAGTGGGAGGGGAGGGATGGGAGAGAAAGGGGGCTGTTTTTGATTTCCTTAGAGTTTGTATTATTGTCATAAAGAGCTGCTTGATTAACAGAAAAAAAGATCATAAAAAACACACACTTATAAAAAAAATGGTTTAAAAGATGGTTCTTCAAGAGTTCTTTAGTAAAGGCAGTGGTTCTATTTAGAACCAGGAGTTCCATATAGAACCATTTAAGCATTAAATGGTTCTTTGCATGGTGAAATGGAGAATGTGTTGTATATAGTTCTACACAAAACCTTTCTATATAGAAATGGTTCTATATAAAAATGTTCTGCTGTTGTTACAAGCCTGGCATCATAAAAATAGCAGAACATTTTTGGTGCTATTTAGAACCATTTTCAAAAAAGTTCTATACAGTACCATATACAACACGTTCTCCATCGGTCTAAATAACCATTTCACCATATGGAACTCATAGTTCTAAATAGAACCACTACCTTCACTAAAGTACTCTTGAAGAACTACCTTTTTAAGCCTGTACCTCAGTATTAAACTCCTACACAGCAACAAACTTATTTTAGAGTTTAATTGTTAAATCAGTTAAATCGTTACAACATTTAAAATGTGTTACAACACATTTAATTAATCAACCTGACACAAATAACACCACTTTACACAGTAATAAATAATAATAATAATAATAATAATAATAATAATAATAATAATAATAAGGGTACATGGTGACGATGTTTAGTGAGAATGCGGGTCGTATTGTTTTTGTGGTGTAATAGCCGGTTGCACTCAGAAGATGGCGCCAGTGAACCGCTGCTATATATTTATGACCCAACTTCACAGCACTTCAATCTCTGTGGGGAAACCGAGGCTACATGGCAGTACGTGATTGATAGTCCAAAGAAAAATAAAGCTTTCCTCAATTTTTATTCAATTAAAACAGCACTATTAATAATGATCATAAACTCACAGCACTCGCAAAATTCTCCTTCCTACAGAAAATCTGCTTCATTCATTGGTACACAAAGTGAACATTCCTTGAAAATTTGCCTGTTTTAAGCCTCTCAGAACATGTCATCAGTGTAAAATACTGAGCAATAGTAACAAATTTCAATTATACATTTGTGTTCAGTAAAATGATCAGTAGTTAATGTGGGAAAGCATTGTATGTGTAGCATTAATAAAGAGGCTTCTAGCCTGCTTTCAGCTTCATGGTATTTTCTGTAGACTAATATAGAACAGCTGGAGCTTCATTATAGTCATTCTTAAGTTAGATAGATACCAACAGTAAAGCCCAGCTAATAATAAAGCCTGGTACCAACACAAACTGCACCTACAATTTGGTCTATAGCAAACAATACACATTATTTACCAATCACTTGCACCCAGGAGTGCGTTTTTACATGGTCACCTGTAGAAAGGCTTAGGAACTATATGCTATAACAGTGGCATCTGATCTTATCAGCAAAGGGCTGGTGTGGCTGCAGGTTTTCATTCCAAACAAGCAGGAGCACACCTGATTCCATGTGTTTAGTGTTTAATCAGTTGGTCTTAGTCTTCCAACACATGCGCTCCTGCTTTGTTGGAGTGAACACATGCAACCACACTGGCCCTTTGCGGACAAGACTGGACACGCTTGTTCTACAAGTAACTGAGCATGCAAGATATGTGAATAATAAAATAATCATTTTCTACTGACCTAACAAAGAGTTGGTACAGGTCTTACAGTAAAACTAGAAGATATGTCACCACTGTTACAATAATAGACATAAACCTTTTCTTTGTTGAATAGGGTTTAAATAGTCTTTTATAGTGCGCTTCCATTTGGAAAAGTAGTTTATACGATTACCGGCACTAAAGCCAGAAGAATTCACAGCTCATCTGAAATCTGAAATGAGGAAATCACATTTCATCCTGAATTTCACTTTTACTGTAAAAGAAAAAAGCTAATAAATTCAAAAATAAATAAATTGGGGATGAATTTTGGGATTATAGAGCCTCCAAACTATAAGTCATTATAAGCCACCAAGCTATCTAAAAAGCTATCTAAAGAACACCTCTATGGAACATAACTGGAACTTTGCTTGAGACTAAGTTCTGAAGAGATCTGTGGGGTTCTATGGTGAAATGAGACCAACAGAACCTTTTTGTCTAAAGGTTTGTCATAAAAGGATCGATAGTTATGCAGAAAAATAACTTTTTTATTAACTGGCTCTTAAATATGGTGCTTTATAGGTGATACTGCAGGGCTGTTTTGCCTCCAAAGCCCATAGGAACCTTGTCAGGTTACACATAACATGACAGACTTCTAGAATATCACGTCTCTGATAGGATACTAAAACAAGGTGACGTAAAGTCCCTGTGAAACTTGTGGGCAGATCTAAAGAAAATGTGAAGGCCAGCTGCTCTTAAGATACTGTGGATGGCAGAATGGTCTCATTTTTATGTGTTTCATTGCCCCGTCAGGGATTACAGATGAAGGCCCAAAGGAATTAAAGGGAATGTGCAAAATACTAAATTCAGTGTCATCAATAAACAACATGTCTTCTCCAAGGGGGGAAAAAACAGGTTTTGAGTTGAAGGTATCACAATAAGGTTCTCATAGCCTAGAACACATTTTAAAAACAAAGTTTATCCAGCATTTTTATACTAGTTGGGGGTCTCTGCACTAGTGTCTATATTAACATAATCTATGGAATTAACTTTCACCACTACACTGAGTTCAAAGTCAGTGAGAACAAAAAAAATCTCTTATCTCTTAGAACTAAAATGCAGCTTTAAAGCATCAAATATTTTCAAAGTTTAGTTTCACATCAAATCGTATCACCTAAAAATGTGACCTATTGTATTTAAATATAAACCAGAAATATCAAGAGATTATTAGCACAAACATGTGATGTTATATAAGCTGGAATTGTGCAGCTTGCATAGTTTATAGGAATGATTTTGTTAAATTAAAGCTGGATGTTATCATTTAAACAGATAGGGGCACTTATTAGGTCTTCCGAGAGAGAGTGCCTTAACACGGCACAAAACTGTTTAAGCAATACTGTTACAACTCCTGCTTCGGAGGCAGAGTGAGAGCTAGTTATGTTACCCAATCAAACTCTGTGCCGGAGCTAAAATGACTACAGTTTGATAATGGATTTCAAAAACTTAAACAGTGGTCCTAAAGCCGGTATTAGCCTGCAAACTCTAGATAGAAATCCTTAATTCATTGTAAGAGTGGAGACATCAATAGGACCTTCATTGCACGCTCACTGCAAATTTAGGTTTTCTCATCACATGTTCTGGCTTCTGAAGTAGCATAAATAACTTAGCCACTTTTGTAACTGCCATCACCAGTGCGCTGTATCCTGGCCATGACTGTGTCATGAGACACCTTCTTGCAGTCCTGAGCCAGGCCAAAGTAACACATAAGATCAATAAATGACTTTGTGATGTTCAGCCGACTGCCATACTCGCTAGCCGCGTAGTCATAAGGAAATGTGTGGTGGTAGTTGTGGAAGCCTTCTCCTGAAATGAAATAAACAATATGTCATCCAGCAGTCACACATATATGAGAAAAACGCAAAGCTGTTTGATGGTGCTACAGATAAAGTGGGTTATGATAAAGTAATCTGTTCAAGTTGTTTTTTACTGCTATCAGAACTGAAATATGTCAAACTGAACATCTGAACTGTTCCAAACATGCACCATTATCACAAATCAAAAAGGCAGACAGCCCAACTTTCACCAAACAAACATCCCTTAACAGTAAATCTGAAGGGTTGTGACTGTTTCCACTGATAACATTAAAGCACTGTTCTGAATGTTTCATTAGGTCTGTGCTTTAGCACAGAAATCCATGCTTTGCTCTCATTACAGACTTACCTATAGCCTTTTTACCTTTTTCGTGTGAGCATGTGCTATATAAATGCATCAAGTACAAGCAGTGACAGAACACCAAGTTTGTTGAATTTACCATTGTGAGGTTACAAAAACACTAGGTACAATGGACTAAAACAGTGAGCACCTACCTACAGCACTGAAGGCAACAAATTTGTTCTCTCTGGGGTTAATGTTGCTGTCGTAGGGCCTCATACCCCACATGTGGGCAGCACTGTTCACCAGCCAGGTGGCGTTAAGGACCAGTGTGTATCTCAGCAGGCCCGGGATAAAGTAAGCCACCCACAAACTCTCCCCCCAGAAGCACCAGGGCACCAAGGTGGGGACGAGGAAGCACATCACCACTACAGACATCTTATAGTGCCTAAAGGAACAGTGAAGAAGGCCCATGAGGGCTATGTTTTTTTGGTATTTAAGTTCTTGTCAGGCAGTAAAGGAACATAAAGAACCCCACATAGGGGCTACACAGTGAACATATTTTAGAGGTCATCATTTTGATAACCATCATACAGAAATATGAAGTGCTTGAGCATTCTTTTGACTATCTATTGACGTAGCTTCTGGGTCAACTCAACAACAACCACATGCTAGGACACATTTTGCTGATCTGAATTATGTTAATCGTATTCAAAAAATGTTACATCTAGTTAAAAATGCTGACAAACTGGTCACTGTTCCACTATCTGATTTGGCAACACTCTGAAATATGTTTTGAGGGCATCCTTTGACCAGTAGACTTTAGAAGCGTTAATCCCTTTTTCAAAGAGGTTCGGGACTGTTGTGGGACTGCATCCAAGAGAATGGATCGGGTGACTCTACTCTGCTCATTCACTGGCTGTGGCCTGATGTGCGCTTTGGCAGAGCCGGTGGCTTTTCTCAGCAGGACAGGCCACAGAGGTGTGAGAAAAATATCAGGAAGAAAAGAGGTTATAACCCTGTCTGCATCACTTCGTACAGTGTGTTAATGCTAACATTCTTGCAGCTTTTAGTCCACATTAAGGGCTGTATTTCTAAAAAGCAAATGACATTGTGAGATTGCTGCGGCCCAAGGCCGCTTGTCATTAACCTTCTCGTTAAACTAAAACATTGTTGTGTAAACCACATCTTTTTATTGACACAGGGTTGAATGCAAAACTTTTAACGTTCAAATGCTCAGAGTTAAGAAGTACATAAATACAGAAAACAAGTAGCCATTTCTGAGTCATTAGAAAGAGTTGGATGGTGTCAACATTCCATAATTCTTGTACAGTGATGGAACATTACACCAGTGAATTATATGGGACAGGGCTTTATCGGAAACGTCAGAACTTTAAATGTAATGTTGTCATAGGTTAGATAATGAAATGAAAAAACATTGTTGTTGAAATGAATGTCTGCTTTTCTGCTAGCAGAAAAAATGACAAACATCATAAAATGATGTACTTGGTAGGTCAGCAATCTACAAATTAAATAGGAATTATTAAACTAATCCTAGTATTTGTTCCTTTTCACTAACTAATTACAAGGATTTGGAGTAACAACAGGCTAGAAGACAGCTTTCAGTCCAATACAAAAATTTACAAGTTTCACAGTAAAAGTTCATACCTTCTCTGGAACATGACAACGCTGTCTGCCTTGAGGTCACTGAGGTCCAGCTTCCTTCCTTTCTCAATCACATCTGGGTGCTTACGAACCAGCAACCAACCAATGTGAGCAAAGAAGAATCCTCTTGCAGCATTGTGTGGGTCTGCATTGGTCTCAGAAAACTTATGGTGGGCGCGGTGGTCTCTAGCCCACTCATAGATATCATTCTGGACACATATATCAGAAATAGCGATGATCAATCAGGTGCAACTGCAAACCAATACAGTGTATTACAAACTGAGTAATATGCATTGTGAAAAATAGTAAGGTTAAAGCTTGTACAATACTTTGTTGCCTCTATATTTACATAGTATATGGCATTATAGTATATGGTATTATTATTGCAGTAGATCACTGGGGCACATTTCTGTTCACAGAGTCTATCCATTTGATACTTGAACATTTGCTCTGTGATTTAATCGCTTGAAATCGATCTGGTTACCTGAAAAGCCATGGAGTTTGCAAAGGCTAGGAAGATTCTTAGCGGCAGTTTAGCTTTGTAGGACCTGTGGCTCCAGAGTCGATGAGCCCCTGCTGTTATCCCCAGAGCACTCATCATGAAACACACACTTGCTGTAAAGAGAAGGGGGCAATAAAGTAAGATGTTAAATTAGCCTTCAGTGTACGGCTGTTCCTGTGTTATTTACGTCTACATTGTTTGGAGGTGTGCTTGGCCTCCTCAGAGATGTTTTGCAGAAATGCTGAATGTCTCTCTATGTGTTTGCAGACAAGGCTGCTTAGACTGAGAGATCTCAGTGCAGAAAGACGTACTGTTATGAGCCTGACAAGCGCACAATGGATGGCCTATTGGAATGCTGATTGTGCATTGTTCAATGGGTGAAATATTATGCAGTGCAATGATGCCAATAAAAAGAAAAAAAGTCTCTCTCTCACATAAACAAACTAGGGGAAAAAAACGAAAAAATTAGGTATATTCTAAATCGAATAAAAGGACAAAAGAACCAGCAAACTGTGATAAATGTAGGATCTCTGCTCTAACAATAGACTATGCCTTCATCCCATCCTGGTTGAAAGAACAGCACTGGAACGCCCCCTCGCTCCAGTACATGACCCATCATTATATGATCGCTCAATGAGCTCTTGGCCTAAACAAGAGTATATGCTTATGTCGGTCAATGTTAGTATACTGGCTTATGGAATAAACTCTAAGAGAACACTCACACCACAGCAAGGTTAAAGCAGATGCGGAGGTGATGGTGATCAGCCCATAAACAGCTCCGATGTGAAGTAACGTCATCAGAATAACGTTTCTCCACACTATCTGCTTTGGATAACTCGGATTCTCTTTCTCCTTGTAAGATTCATCAAGAGCATCATCCACCAGCGGTGCTTCGGCCATTTCCTCGGCGTTTCGTTGCCTTGTTTGGACAGAATTCCTCTCGGTAGCAGTCATATTTTCACAACGGGTCTTCTTCGATCGCCTACAGTGAGACATTAAGCATCGTTATTCTCATAGAACTGCGACACCAACACAGCAGGAAATAAACATCGGTATAACATTTTGTCCTCCATGGGTGGGTCTCGGCATCCTAATGTGGGCCAGCGGAGCGACGACCATCGAGCCCTGCAGAAAGCACAATATCATAAACGCCGTTTCGTAAATTCGGTCTTATCCGCTTACCTTTAGTGTCGGACTATTTCCAGTCAACAATTCATCAAGCTCGGCACGTCCGGAGGGACCAGATGAAGACAATGGGCTTTCAGTGAGCCTGCTTACCTAAGTCGCTGGCCGTTTTTTGGTACGTCGTTTAAATGGTTGCAATTGGCTGGGAGGGAATGGATGCCACCTAGCCTTTCCAGTTTCATTGGTTGCCTGCTCATCTGATGTTCACGCTGAAAGCCACAATCTAAACAATCTGTTTTTTTTTCTCTCTCTCTCGCCCGGTGACTATTCACTGCAGCCCATCTAGAATGACACAAGTTGCAGCATAGAGAGAGAGAGAGAGTGAGAGAGAGAGAGAGAGAGAGAGAGAGAGAGAGAGAGACAGACGAGGTCGTTGTCTGCAGTGACTCAGTCCATGTCCAAGAGTAACCCTGCGAAAATGTAGGTCAATGTACTTTACCACTGTTCCATTTCTAATGCAATTTACTATAAAAAAGGCATGTTGCGATCATTATAAAGAATGATGGATTCTGTCTTGCTGTATGAGTTCCTTTCAGGTAGGAGGGCTTTGGATCCAATCACTAAACAAAACAAATGATCTAATATATATATATATATATATATATATATATATATATATATATATATGTGTGTGTGTGTGTGTGTGTGTGTGTGTGTAATACGGCCAGGGATATGAACAGTGTAATAAAGGTCCACTTTGATTTCAGGTTGAATTTAAAGGCACAGTAACAAAAACAGCCTGTTTAATTCTAAAGGATAAAAATAGGCTATAAAATATGGAAATACAGAAATGAAGGTAGATTGCATTGGCAATCATTTCCATATTAATCTGCAAAAACTTTGACAAGACATTGAACATCTTAAGAACTTTAAATCTAGTACCCACAACCTTGAACAGACACTTTTCTACTGCAGCATCTCTACTCTGCCCACTCCCCTGAACTATCAACAAATGACTGAACATTTGTTTTTCTTAATTACATACGTTAGAAACTGACCACCTTTGCTCAAGGATAATCCAAGTCATTGTACCTGTTTTTGACCATGTGTATAGAAAGAACTTATGCCTCTATCCCTAATTCAGTAAACTCTCCTTTTCTGCTCACTCACAAGTTTGTGGGGGGTTTTGAGTACTGGATAAGACCACTGCAATAGTTTCTTTAATTTGTGAGCCACTTAATGTGCATCTACAATGCTCTGGATCATAGATCTGCTAGATAACAATGACCAAAATCTCCCAATAGTGAGATTTTACTCTAAAACATGATTGCACCACTCCAGTTCTGGAGGGCCAGTGTCCAGTACAGTTTGTTAGTTTCTCTATTTAAACACACCCATCAAACCTGGCAATTAACAGATGAGTGAAAACAGGTGTGTTTGAGCAAGTAAGTCACTGACTAAACTGTCCTGAACACTGGCCATCTAGGACCTGAGGTGTGTACCCCTGTTTTAAAATGACCTTTCATTGATGTCATGTACGTAAGGTGTCAAACAACTTTTTATATGCCCATAGAACCCAATTCTAAGTTCTGAATTCTAAAGTATCAATTATGTTTAAGTAAATTTGAAGTAAAACGATTTGATGAAAGTCAAGCCTTTTTTCTGGCAAAGTTGCAAAGGGTGCAAAGCAAACTCTATATAATACACATTACTCATGTTTTGTCAAATGTCAGTAGAAAATCAAACTTTTACTTTTTTGCTACTATGTGTAGTGGTTATGCTGAACATGCATATACATTTTCAAACCAAATGAAAAACACATGGGATCAGCATTCTAGACTAAAGAAACAGGTTTTATGCAGCCACAATGAAACTTGACCACTCTAAACAACTTTAGAGCGTTGGCTTTCTTTGAAACATGTATGTAATTAAATGTATTACACAATAAATTGTGTGGGATTTTCATAAAAATACAGGAAATGACATAGTAAATAAAACATGAAGAGATAAATCATAGTCCTTCTAAACATGTTAAACTGCAAAATTCGTAAAAATTACCAGTAACACTTCCAGTCTTTGTTTAACATGTACATATGTCAACCAACATTCGTTAGCAATTTTGTTCTAAAACATTCTGTTGATTTATTTTTTTCCTGATCAGGGATGAGGTTTTGTTTATCGTTCAAAGACAAGCACCAATTCACAGTGAGGTGTGTGAGGAAACATGTCCACTGGGACAGCTATAGTCGGTGTAAAGGCCTCTCCAGTGAGCTTCTTCTGCCAATCTGGTTTCCCACAAAGCTCCCTGAAGTTCCTCATTGCTTCTCCTTCTGGTTTGCAGGATATGTAGATAAGTCTCTGTATATCTGAGTGGTTGCGCAGGGCACGGATCACTCTATAATGCAGGCCTGCCCTAGAAGGATTCACAATAGCTGTAAGCCCCCCATCAGAGCACAAGGTGGGCATCAGTTTCGGAAGAATAACCTCTGCTTTTCCTGAGAGAAACTCACAGTTCTGAATGCCGTTTAGTGCTGCATTATGTTTTGCATCCTCCACAGCCTGCTCAATGAGTTCAACCCCAATGACCTTCTTCATTCTTGAGGATAATGAGATACCAATAGCTCCTGTCCCACAGCACACATCCAAAAGAGTGCCATTCCCACAGGCCTTGTTCAGCTCTGCTACAGTGTTATACAGGGCCTCAGCTGCACCCCTGTTCACCTGAAAGAAGGAATCTGCAGAGATGCGGAACTTGAAGCCAAGGATTTCCTCGTAGATATGTGGTACCCCATGCAGAAGCTGGTATGGAGACTCTTTGTGACTACATCGGGTCATGGCACTTTCCTGGAAATAAAGAGAGTCCAGCTGGCAAACGACCCCAGGACCTTTTGTGAAGTACTCTACTAGAGCTGCTTTATGGACACTTATCTCCTCAGGAGTCAGATTTTGTGGATGGAAGTACACTATAGCCATAGTGCTACCAGCAGAGTTTGTTCTCACTGTAATTTCTCTCCAGTGCCCCCCATCATGAAACAAAATGCAGGGCATCAGTGGTGAGGCACGTATAAAATCTTCATAACACCTTCCCACCAATTTGTGCTTTGATGGCATGTTAAGCAGATGGTCCCCATGAACACAGACAATGTTTCGACCTTTCCCAGTGCCTATGTAAAGTCCTACAGTCTTTGGATTTCCATCTACTCCTCTGTTGATAGAGAATGTTGATTTATTGCGGTACCCATCCCTCACTGGTGAGGGAACTATAGGCAGTAGAGGAAAAGTGAGCTCCCCCTTATTGCATGTGCCCACCACATTTGACATCTGAAGTAAGATTTTGTGCTGCTGTTCCTGTTTCCACTGGAGCTGCTCCTCATAGCTCAGTCTCCAAAGAGGAGTCACAGTATCAGCTAACCTTTCCTCCCAGGACAGAGTCTCCCAACCTGGAGATCTGTGCTGCTTTACTCTTCTTTTCTTTTCAGTGCTGGTTGCAGAAACTGAACTGCAACTAACTGCTGCATAGCTAACAGGTGCTCTCACTAAGTCACCAGCACGCTGCAACAGCGCTGAGAGTATCTTACTCATACGCATTTTAAGGATACGTTTAAATGTTAAAACAATATAGGCTGGTAAGCTTGGAGTAAACTGAAGAGTCGATATTGATTCACCATTGAAAATCCCCTTTAGGTCTTTCTTGGCTTAGTCTGAGTCTTGGAAACCAGTCCTCACGGTAATACAGATACACTACACCCGGTCAGTCAAACAGCCTTTGTGTCTAAGAAATGTTTCAGTATTTTTGGACACAGTAAACTTCAGGAGAAATAAAAATGACCCCGCAATCTTCTACCTCTTCACGCGTAGTGCAGTGCAGTAGCTCACAGACCATGACGCCTTATTTTCGCTCCCAGTTTTCAGCAACGTCATTACGCGGCGCCTCAGAGCCAGTGGAGTTCCGCTGTCGCAATGGAATCAAACAAGGACGAAGCGGAGCGCTGCATCGAGATTTCTCTCACAGCGCTGAGAGACAACCAGCCCGACAGAGCCAGGAGGTTTCTGGAGAAGGCGCAGAAGTTATTTCCTACTGAGAAGGCGAAACGTAAGTGAATATCTGTCTCGAATGTCACAGCAAGCCAGATAAGAGGCCACTTGAGAAGCAAATCTAGCTAACGTTAGCTTAGCTACCCAGCTGGCTAACGTTACCACATAGCTAACGTCAGCTTCTTCTTGCGCGTTATGGACCTCGACCGTCTTTTTACGCTTTTCTCTTCTAGTTCGTGTTTGTGTGTTGACATGGTCTCAGCTAGTACTGCACCAGCAGCCAGACGTTCGAGCTAAGCTGCTGTGCTGATAAAATGCCTTTCTTTTTAGATGAATGTTTGAATGTGAATGATGAATGTGCGCTCGCTTCCTTGTTTATGTTGTAAACACTGTCCTCCTGGAGACTTCCTGTACGTTAGTGTGTCCATTTTCCAAGTGAGCGTTAGTGTATAAAAGATTCTCGTAGTGGCTTGGACATACTTGCCTCACTGAAATTGTCCTTTTAGGTTTATTAGAATCTATAGCTCAGAATGGAAAAGCACATGTCAGTGATGATTACTGTGGAGAAAGTGACGGCGCTGGAGTAAGGCACAGAACTAACCATGCTGGAGACCAGACCTCGGGAGAAAGTGCCACAGATGGAGCCAAGTCATACACACCAGATCAGCTGGATGCAGTCAAAAGGTGTGTTTGTTTGGCTGTATTTTATTTTTTCTGATTTTTTGCAAGAGCATTTAATCTTGATTACCAATACTGTTCCAAATGTATTGAATCAGATGTACTTCCTTGTGTGGTCACTTATGTTTTGCCTTGTCTTGTTATATGTCTTTCATTTAGGATAAAAAAGTGCAAAGACTATTATGAAATTCTTGGAGTCAGCAAAGATGCCTCGGAAGATGACCTGAAAAAAGCATACAGAAAACTAGCTTTGAAATTCCATCCTGATAAAAATCATGCACCTGGTGCTACAGAGGCATTTAAAGGTAAAAATTTTGCTTTTGAATCTTTTAACCTTTTTTGCCATTTGGAATGTCTAGATTTGACAGTTTTAAGCAACATCTTTTGTTTTTACCACCATTTTGGTCATAGCTATAGGAAATGCATATGCGGTTCTTAGCAACACTGAGAAGCGGAAGCAGTATGACCTTTATGGGGAAGAGAAAATCCACCAATCACGCCATGGCCATTCTCATCGCGGCTTTGAGGCAGATATTTCCCCTGAGGATCTATTCAACATGTTCTTTGGAGGTGGATTTCCATCTAGTAAGTAGGACATAAATGCGGTAATATTAGGTATCATAAGTTTAATGTAAATTAAAATGGCTTTACAAATGCCTGTGTGTAGCTTTGAGGAACTCAGCTGCCATATGATAATCATTGGCATATTTAATTTGCATCATTTTTTTGCATTCTTCCTAGGTAATGTCCATGTCTACAGTAATGGCAGGATGAGATTTGGGCATAACCACAGGCAAGAACGAAGAGAACAGCAGAGAGATGTAAGTGGCTGTACACTGGAAATGCTTTATAACTTGTAATGAACATTATCAAATAACATTGTATGCATATTTCCAAACTGTACAAATGTTTGTACAAGAAAGTGGGTTTCTGTGTGCAATTTCACAGATTCTTACAATGCTCTTAACCATGCGTAACAACAGAACTATATATAACAACTTCCTATGTTTTATTATTTATGAACTAGGGAAGCCTTGCTTTGTTTGTTCAGCTGATGCCCATCCTCATCCTCATCATAGTTTCAGCCCTCAGTCAAATGATGGTGTCCAGCCCTCCCTACAGTCTTAGCCACAGTCCGTAAGTTTGCACTGCCTGACATGTTTTATAAACAGCACTTTGTTTTCAACCTCAGTTACACACCTTCAGTTACTATTGTTAAAATAAAAAGTGATTAGCTTAAGAAAGGATTAACATTTGACCAATGTTCTTCAAAATTCCTAACAATTTAACATTTAATATTCTGCAGATCTTCAGGCCACACAAACAGGCGACAAACCGCTACTCTGAAGGTGCCTTACTATGTGGGTGACCACTTTTCAGAGGAATATAGCGGAATAAATCTAAAGAACATTGAACAGAGTGTGGAGGAGGACTACATTTCCAACCTTAGAAACAATTGCTGGAAAGAAAAACAACAGAGTAAGTCCTGTCAAACTTGCATAGTTTTTAATTGTTTATATGTTTTTCACTCTTGGAGCATCCAGTAAAAGTACTGACAGCTGTGTAGCAGCGGTCACACCAAACATGAGTAAAATTTGCCTGGCAAGAAAAAGCCAATTCACTTGATTTTGAAACAATATGAGAACATAAAAAAGGAATTTGCTTCTGGTTACAGTTAATGTCACCTTGTGGTTTTGCTCGACAAAAAACAGCAAGACTGCAATCCGGTGTGACCATGGCTTAAGTCTCTATTATGCCATGTGATGTAACTGACTTTTTTTCATTAGTAAGGAAGGACTGTGAGAGACCATATGTCTTTCTTCCAATGCTATACAGTGTACCACCCAAATGGACATCTGCATAGATGTGCTTTGATAGACCATTTAGCTTCTTCTTCAGGTGTGTTGAGATATTTGACAGTGCTGAGTGGCTAGTATTTAGTTTGCAATAATTGCAGTCATAAAGATAAGTAAAGAATGCATGCAGTTTATTTTATGTTATCTTGAAGATTTGAAGCTTGGGGACTGAAATTATGTGTTTCTACTTGCAGAGGAAGGATTGTTGTATCGAGCACGTTATTTTGGAGATTCAGACCTTTACCAAAGGGCGCAGAAAATGGGAACACCCAGCTGCTCAAAGCTCTCAGACATTCAAGTCTTGTTACATGGACACTGAGAGTCAAGAGTAAGTTATGAAACTTTTCATTTCGGTAGAGTCAGACAACCAGATTAAGAATTTATTTTTAAAAATCTATGTAAGCAAGTGATCATAACTGAATTGCTTTCAAAATATGCCTTTTTAATGAAAATGTATATTTAAGTGAAGTGGACTCCCAAAACTAAGGGAATTTTGGTGTCAGTTAAATGTTTAGGAGGAAACTTAAATATCTGTTGTTTTAAGCTTTTGTTAGAACACAGACATTTAGAGGATTTAGAGATAATATTCAGTTTTACTGAATATTAAGCATTTTTTTAACTTTAATAGTTTGTGCATTTCAATGTGTTTTCCCGTAAATACCATGTTTTATCTGACTCTTTTTTGCTTTCGTGTATTCATGTAGGTCCAGTGAACGTCTGTTTTGAAGGTGACCAAGTATAGACATATTCTGCTCTCACCAAACTTTCACTGAAAGTAGAGTGGGAATTTGCACCAGGAAAAGCAAAAATAGTCTGTATCCGTGCGGCGGTGGGCTCGCATTTGTCTTTCCTCTCCCTTATGATGTTGGCGAATTTGCACATCATTGGATAGATATTGCTGAAATCTGAAAAATGGGTTTAAAAACAATTCATTTGAAAATAACTGGTGATATATTATGGATTTGGAGGTACACAAAACATTATGTAACTGTATTTTGAATGGTAAGCTATGCTACTAGCTTAATGCTTTTCTTTTCAGTCTGTGCACCCCAATTCCATTGTAAGCAATTCTTAGTACCCTGTATTTGGGTTATCTGAGCCACTCAAGATTTTTAGTATTTCTTTGGACCTGTATTATTTGACAACAAGAACTTGGTGAATTCAAATTTAAGTTGTTGCCATTCCTTATTTAATTCATTGTTCACTGTAGATTTGCTTGTTGTTTTTTTTTAATAAGCATTTGAGATTAATGAAAGAATTTTGATCTGTATTTATTAAAATTGAATCATCCCAGATCTGCATCTTATTTTATTATCAAGAGCAATGCTTCTTATCTCAATATACAATTATCTTTATATATTACACATTATTTCTGCAAAATGGAAGACGATGTGTGAGTATGCCTGTATTTGGGCCTTAATCTTGTTTAAGAGGAAAAGCCTCACATTTGAGTTTTCTGAAATGTTTAAGTGCATCATTAGTTGCCAATTACTCCATACAAATTGTACTTCACTTAATTTATAAGAATTATTTGTGTTAGTCTGAACAATATGACTGATTTAATATTAAAATTGTCTTTCTGTATATGTAGATTAATACAGTAATTTACAGTTTACTTTAATCCTGTAATGTTTACCATGTAAGCATAATATTAAAGTGAATTGAAAACACAAATGTATCAGTCAAATTAAGTATGCTCAGATTCAAAATACATTTGATGGCATGGTTTGATCTCAAACACAAAATATAAACATACTCCATCAAATAGTGAAAACATAAGTTTATTTTGTGTCAATGTTCCAGCATAACCAAGGCACTTTAGTATTCAAAAATTCATAAAATAAGTCTTATAATAAAAATGTCCTTTTTAAGGAAGTTTAAAAAGCTGCCATTCGTCCAACAATGGACGTTTTATAAATACATTCCTAGCATTGCTTGACCTGAGTTGGTATTTCTGCCAGTGAAGCATATGGTAAAACCCATATATACAAATTTGAAAACATTTTCTTAAATAAGAAAAAAAAATGCAAAGTCCTTGTGCCCTCTGTGATCAATATCTTCGGGTCACAATTCCTCTATGTAAACTTCAGCTGAGCTGTAAAGCTTCCTTTTGACCGCCGTGAAGCCTGTACTCAGTCTGATGGAATTGCTAAGCCTTCTGGTAAACTTTGGCCACAGTCCTCCAAGATCTGGCCGCAGCAAAAAAGTGACGTGGAAAGTTGGCACAGTACAGTGATCCACAGACAGCTGTCCGACGTTTTGATAGGACTCGCCATTCTCTATACACAGGTCTATTAGAGCCCCTCTCAGACCGCAGGGTTCTCCAGCAGCCAGGTGGAGGAGCTCCTGTCTAATGTGCTCCAGTAACTGATGAGGAACAAGAAGCCTAGACCATCCCAGGGCTCTGGCACTGGCCTCGCCAAGAATTTCAGAGAGATTATCCAGAGTCTCAGCACACAGCGCCTCCTCAAAAGGGTCTTCTATTGAAACCACCGATGAACATTCTGAAAAAAGGAGGAGTTGGTGTTTTAGTCGATCTTTTAAATATTTGCAAATTTTTTTAGACGTAATCTAACAAAACACTGTTTGTAACTTGAGAGCCCCAATAATTTCACAACATGCGAATTAAAATAGCAAAATACCTGAATCTCGTTTCTCAGAGCTGTCGATTGATGTTGCATCGGCGACGTGGTTGAAGTCGAGGAGTTTTTGTACCACTCTTCCCCATGACAGACGCTTTGAATCACCAGACTCGGACGCTGAGCAGTTCATGGTAAGTTAAGTAGTGCTGTGCCAAAGCAGGCCTCAAGCTTACGGTGCAGTCCAGAAGCGTAGCTCAGAGTATGGCGAATCAAAACTTATTTATACTGAGCGGATGGAAGCCCCGCCCCTCACATTTTTCAGCCAATCAGTTTTCAGCGCACGTTCCCAACGTTCCATCCTGCCTGGAGACGCTGTTGGGCCATTGACTGTTTTCACCCTGAACTGACCGAAAATACGCATCAGTGGGGGGTAAAACAGGCTGCACTGATTATTATACCACAAATCTTACGTCCGTCTCACTACACTGGACAAACCCATTCTGCTTGGTTTCGACCTCATGACCTACGAAGTTCATTAGACTTTAAAAATGATTTGAGCAAAAGCTCCAAACGTGCTAGAACATCTGGTTGACTGGTGGGGTGACGGGGTGATTGGGGGCGGTGTGTTTTAGTCAGAAGCACATTTGGCAGAAACGTGTAAACTTTTTAACCTACAGAAAAAAAGAACGAAGTAAACTAGTAAAGAACGAGCTGGAGGTTCACAAATAACACCACTCAGGCATACTGGTTGTATTTATTTACGTTTCAAATCACTAATTTATTCAAAGAGCTGCGTTGAAGTTAAATTTACTCAATTATATGTACTAGTTCAGTACATATAGTTGGGTAAATCGTACAATTGTGATGTATTCGTACCTTTTAAAGTATTTTTAAATCGATTTTGCTTCTCGGGTACGTTTATCATAAGAGTAATCTACTTTTTATTCAGCTTCATTTGAATCATTAACATTTACTAATTCCTTTTTTGTTCAATTTCATTATGTTGCGTTGGTGACAGCATCTGGCCTGCTTTGAGACTGATACTTGACCTCTGACTTTGAAGCGTTATAATTTTACTTTAGATAAAGAGTGCTCTAAAAGGGAAGAATAGAGCCCGAAACGATTAAGTTCCTGATAACAGCTGCGTCTACAGGGAGCACGGAACTCAAGTATGTTTTGTCCTGATACTTTTGTCCTTCTACTTAAGTCATTGTTTCACAGAAATAACAACACTTAAGCGTTTAGGTTACACTCATCTCTTTGTCACTGGCTCGTGGTGTAGAAAACATTAATGTAACTATAAAATAGTAGATCTAGCAGTGGTGAAATACTCAGAAAAAACACTACTAAAGTTATAAAAGGTCAAGATACTAAACAGTGCTTGCTGTGCAAGAATGCGCTGCACTGTGCTCTGAATCTTTAGTACTTCTATTCCACAATAAGTGTGAACTTCCTTCGTTGTTGAAGAGCCACTTCTTACTTCTAAGTCAGTAAGATGTGAGTGCACGTATGCAGGAATTTTAGGGTCTTTGGCAGGGTGTGTGAATGTGATCCGGACCTTTGACTCCCCACCCCACCCCCATCACCAAAACCCGCGCAGGCTGTTGCTAGCAAACGCCAAAAACAACACGTAGCCCTTCCCGCAAATGGTGGGCCATTTCAGTCCTGCTCAAGTATGAAGCTACACGTGCTCGAATGGTTTATGAATTCCGATGAACACTAATATTAACCAAATACTTCCTGGAAGGGTAGTAATTAAGGACATTCACAATATCAACACAACTCAGTTCTGAAAATACATTCAAATGACTGCGAAATAATGTAGTTTTACATTTTGTCATAAACTTATACATATGGGCATTTTTTTTAAATATGTGATACCCACTTCACAATGCTGATTGTATGTCTACTATGTTCTATAAAGCAAGTCTGCAACATGTGCCTGGAATTAGTATAAGATTATTTCAATAATTTTCATAAAAAGGTTTCATTTGCGCCAAGAAAAAAAAGAATGGGTTTAAAAACAATTCATTTGAAAACATATGATACCAAAATATTTTATGAGGATCGTACAGTATGTCCTCACCCTGCGATTAAAGAAAGGTAGGCTATCTCAGGCCTGCAGACAAACTTACCGGCGTTACGGCCGCTACCCCAGCCACGAACTGCAGGGGGCGCAGCCTGGCTTTACCCCACGAAAGGAGAGAGGGGCGGGGGGCGCAGGATAAGGGTACATTCGAAACTAAACTTGCGTTATTTGAGCACAAAAGCACAGCTTTCCGCCATGACGGCTCCTAAATGATTGAAGCGTAACGGTATTTTCTTACCGTTTTAATCGCTTCTTCCATCCTGGTGGAGTCACACTGGGTTTAATTCGACAGATTAAACGGAAACATGTTTAATTGTTTCGAAGTGCCGTCTCCATGGCAGCGTTACCGGGAGCGCTTTACGTTACAAAGAAGTACTGAGTGAGAGAACTGGCGGCAGAGGTGGGCGGTCAAGTAACTGGAGCTGTATTAGAAATATAACTCTGCAATCTTAACTGTTTAGTCAATTTCAGTTAGTACCGAAATTAGGACAAGTTTTCATAATCTTATCCTATCTCCAGATTAGAAAACATACTTTACAGTCCTAACTTCAGGACAACCCGAATAAGTTCTACTGTAACCTTCCAGTTCTACCGTTGGCCGTTCAGCTCAAAAGAGAATGTTATCGTTTAGTCAACTCTGATAAACAAGCAAGTTCACTGAGGTTACTTTGGAAACGAAGGTTTCACTTGTGAGAGTCACGTTTTCTAAGCAAGGACGTTATTAAAGAGACCGGTCACAGGTTGGAAAGTGAATAATAAAGTTCGTAGCGCTCAACATGGCGTCTGTTGACGTGAAAGCGTCCCCTCCTGCATTGTGTGACTTGCGCATGCGAAGTAACCAGAACAAGCTAAAATCGCTGTTTTGTGTTATTTGTACTAAACGGTACATACAGTTTATGCAGTTTTTGTCAGATTTTGTCAATGATTTCAAATATGTTTTTATACGTTAATTTGGCTTGTAGTTTCAGTTAAGAAGTCTCTCCCCATTCCAAGAGATAGGAGTCTTGTTTGAGTGGAAAAAGACAGTTCTGGGCTGATCCTGGCTCTCATCAGCGAGTGTTCGTTGACTTCAGGAAAAATGTTAGACATGTGGCCCAGAATTGGGCCAGATGCTGGACAGCTGTGTATTTTTTACTCGTATCTACGTTCAAGTGCCAATTCTGGCATGAATGTTGTGGCCCAACAGTGTGGATGAAGGAGGAGGGCCACACGTTTATGCTGCGGCAGATCAATGCTCCTTTGATTTATTCAGTACTGTTGGCCCCAGTCTGGCACGTGGTAAGTGGCCCATTACTTAAGTTACAGAAAACAGCCGACACTTACCATTTAAGGGTTAAAACCACTAATTTAACTAATTTTCCTGCCCAAGTTCATCATTTTCAAAAGGACAAGCCAGCAGCTAGGTTTGAAGAGAAGACAAATGGAAAAGGACATTAAGGTCAGTAATATACTTTAAAAAGCATATTTATATATATTAACATAATTTGTTTTGTGTAAGTTTAGTTCAAAAGATGAACTATTTCAAATGTTATGGTTCCAGTACAGAAAATAAAAATTATAGTTAGCTAGCAATACCATTTTGGCATTAACACTTGAAAAGCACAGGCTAGCACAGCTTGAGTTAATGAAATGGCTATCAGTTCAGGGTTTAGTTACGTTTTCCTTCATTGCTAATTCTTCCTGACTAATGTTAACATTCCTTTTTAGCGTTTAGAGTAGCTAGCTAGTTAGCAACGTTAGCTCGCAGTTAGCGCGTAAGCTCAGAGCTAAACCGAGCTAATGCGCTAGCTCCGAGCTGAAGTGCTAACCGTGAGCTAACGTTAGCTAACAACCCTGAGCTTTTAAAAGGAATAGCCTGTGATTTTCAAGTGTTTTGCCATAATGGTACAGCGCGTTTAGCGTACACGGTACAGTTCGCGGTTAGCGCGTTAGCTCGGGCCTAGGGCCTTTGCTCTGGACTTGTGACAGCAGTAGCATGTCCTCTCATCTGCACACACATCAACCTTCTGTGTAAGTCAGTAGAACTAGAAAACAGTTTAAAAACGGGTGCTGTGGTTGTTAAACTGAGGTGATATTTCCTGGCTCATATGAGGGTTTATTGTCAGGAGTGCTTTACATAGTTCAACCTGTAAGTAGCTTAATTTTGATTATGGGTTTCTTAATGTTTGTTAGAACAAAAACTTTCATGTTGTTTACAGATGCTGCAGTTGTGGAGTTTTTGCCTCATTATTCAGTTTCAAAAGTAAAACCATCTATTCCAGACAAGCTGTTATTGGAGTTCTGTGACTGCTTTCAGAGGAACAGCTTCCAAAGTGACCGAGCACATGCAGTCTGCAGAGTCGGAAAAGCTGATTGTGGTGTTATTCCAGACTGTCAGGTATGGGGTTTGTTGTACAGTTTGACACAAAAACAGCTGGAAATCAGTTAAAGAAGTAGTTAAATGACAGCTGAATGCTTTTCCTCTTTCCTCAGAAGAAAATGTTGTTTGTTATAACTTTAGTGTATTCACTAGCCATTGTATGAGATTTATCTACAGTAGACCAAAACATTTCTGTTTTGTGTATTTGCTTTTGTGCATTAATAATTTTTCTACTTTGAAAATGTTTAAAATTGTGATGCACAATAAACAGTCTGACTATGTTCTAAATGTTTTTGCTTTTTGTTTTGTTTAAGGGATTCTGCACTGGTGAAAATGAATGCATGCAAAACAAAGCATTATGATCATAATATACCCACATAAGCTCATGATGGAACCAATTAAAAGTCTCTGTATAACCTCTTAGGTTACTACCACCATAGGTGGGTTTAAAAATGCACCTTTTGCTGAAGTGGGATCCAATGTACATCCCAGAAAGGGCCCATGTTTAACATAATATAAAATAAAATCATGTATTTAATCATGTATTAGAAAAACAGCAGTTTATCCAGTTTTGTATTTGTTTACAGTGAAAATCCTCTAGTAGTCATAGAAAACATAGCTGTTTATCAAGTTAATTTGCAAAACAGTGTCTCATACACAGTTGGCTTGATCTCATGTATGCCCATATTTAAAAAAAAAAGAAACACTGAATGTTTTGACATCTATACTTCAGGGACATACTCAACTGTTTTTATGCCACAGAGCTTAAGTATAATTTTTCAGATATTTTTGT